ACAAGTGAAGTGGTCACAGACTAACCGAGCAAACAGAAAGAGAGACCAACATGCACACACACACATAAATATATATATGTGGATACATATCACCTCCCCTTTTGAGAAGATGGATGATTAGTAGGATGTTTACCTGGGGGTTTATCTGGGACCTTTGGGCTTGTTGTTGACGCCTGTCGTTTCGTCTGATTGTTGGGTTTGCGGCTTCGGCTCCGTCCGGAATTGTCTAGCATTTTATGCTTCTTCACTGTATTGCGTAGAGAATTTAGTGGGACATCAGCCAGATGCAAACGATCGAACCAATCAAGTCCCAAAACATTTAAATCATTCTTCGTGACGTAACAAATTCCTGTGAATTTGGTATTGCGGAAGGAAACAGAACATTTGAGTTCACCAATTAGTTTGAGCCGCCCACCACAGGCGCTGAGAAGAGACTGGGAAGTATTGGTGATAGGTGGTCTGCCAATATAATTCCAAAGTTTCTCTGATATAACAGTAATATCAGAGGCAGTATCTAGCTGCAGACGAGTATCATGACCATTCATCTGAAGGTCAATATATTTCCGCATAGCTGGTGTTGTGACTTGACAGGTTGCACGTAGACTCAGTGATCTTTTTGGAGATTTAGGACCGACATTTTGTTGAGCTTTTGCTGGATTATGATATCTGAGTTGGCGTGGCTGACAAAACCCATTTTTATGACCGATGATTTTGCACTTGCTGCAACGATGATTTTTGTATGGGCAAGACTTTACAAAGTGCCACGCGCCACAATGCCAGCATGGTGATGGTGGGGTCTTCTTTGCAGTATTTTGTGAAGTTGGACGAGTATCTGTAGATTTCCGCGGAACATTAGAGAAGTAGGTGGGTCAGGAGTAGATGATGAGAGATTTTTGCTCTTGCGTAATGCACGAATATCAGAGCTTCTCGGAGGTGTTGATTCGACCATGTGTGTGTCTTTCTGCAGATTAATCAGCCGTTGATATTCATCAGCTATGTCATGTAATGTTAACTTGGGATTTTGTTCTAGCTGATTGAGCAGTCGAGTTCGGATATCTGTGAAACGAGGAGATTGGAGACTGCATATGAGAATCAAGGCTTTGAACTGATCATCTGTTAAGGACCTGAGTCGAAATCTCTCACATTCTCGGTTGACTGTGCCAACGTGAGTAAGAAAATCATCATTTTCATTCATTGCCAGCTTGAGGCAACGATAACGTATACTGAATAATGAGGAGTGGTCTCCGAAATGTTCACGCAGCAACTTTATTGTATCATCGAAACAATTGTCACGTGGTTTCTGTGGTAAAATTAGGTTGCAGTACCGTTCATATTCTGCCGGACCCAATTTACGTAGCAAAACTCGCACCTTCCAGGCATCGTCTTGTGAGGCGAGATCAACAGTGAATAAATCCTCATAACGTTGATACCATGTGTCAAAAGTGACATTAGCCTCTGGGTCATAATTGAACTGTGAAATGCTGTTCACAATTCCGTCGACAGATGGTAGCATGGTATGATTGGGATTGCTTGAAGGTGGAGCTGGACCAGTCTGTTGGTTGACGAACATTTCCATTAATTTCATTTGTCGTTCAAACAATAATTCCAATTTAGAAGGATCCATAGTAAATTGTTATGTTGCTGCTGCTGAGTGGTTAATAGTAGTTTTCCCCGTCGCCAAATTGTTATGTACTAGTTTCCCCGTCGCCAAATTGTTATGTACTCGTCGCTGAATTATTGTTATGGACTGGTCGAGAAACTAATAGTCCTGACGCGAGAAGGCGGAAATCAGAAGACCACTAGGTTTGCGATGATACTTCTATTGTCCAAACACAAGGAGACGAAAATAAATGGTCTCACACCAAAGTGGTAAGTAAGTAAAGTAGTTGTAAAGTAAAGTAGTTCACACAAATTGTGAATGCGAATATATATAAATAATTCAGACAAGCGTGGGAAAAATCATTAGACAGTCTTAACATGAATGGCTAATTATAATGGAGTGTCGATCCAATTATACATAGCGAATATAGCAGACATGCCAACAAACATATATGGATATATGTCACCAAGCAACGGACTGTCAACAAACACTCATATTATATATAATATAATATAAGGAGAATACACATTATTAAAGGAGACAAGTCCATACAAGTGAAGTGGTCACAGACTAACCGAGCAAACAGAAAGAGAGACCAACATGCACACACACACATAAATATATATATGTGGATACATATCAATTTCATCATGAGTTGACATCAGTTGGAAGACCATTGGAAACCCTGGGAGTGCTGGATAACTGTTTTATTATTTTATTCCTTTACGTTCCCAGTGGAACATAGGGCTTCAAGCTACAGGTTTGAAGTTTTTGTAGCAGTGGTGTTTAGTTTTACGAAATGAGGTGGTTAGCCTCACGCCAAACCTTCCCTCTTTACCAGTTTTAATACTGACTTAACGAGGTAGAGGATTGCGTGGGTCGGGGATAGAGCATTCTACTGCTGTACCACTGATGAGTCAATATTATAAGGTATATTCATCTCTTCGCTCAATCAAATCTTTCGTTAAAATGTGATTTTAGTGCATCAAAACAATTTGTTAAGAATATATTTTCTTTTCTTAAAGTTTCAGATATATCTTTAAGGTGAACGCCACGAGGCAAAAACTTTAAGGTGTAAGGCTTCCGGCTGAGTAACAATAAGGGAATGAAAGAATGTAATCAAGATGAAGGTGAAGCATGAATACACATATCATACTTTAATCAACTCTGTGACATACAACTTTAAAGACAAGTCAAGGGTTTTAATAGTAATGTTAAAAACCAACTATACAACCTATACCATTTTATCAGATTGAAATCAGTCAGTGACTTTGTTGCTTTCTTGCAGCCTAATTCCTTTAACAAGGAATGCAACTCTGACTAAGGCTGGTCATGTACTACAATAAGAAAAAATGAGAATTCTTCTCATTTCTCTCTATTCAGGTCAACAAATGTTCACACAGAGAGCAAAAAGCAAGAGCTACTGAAGAATAAAATCTAAGCTGATAAACCAACTGAAATGGCTTTTTCATCAAGTTGGTTTACTTGACTAGGAATGATAAAAAGTGCATGGAAAAGGAGGTTTTATCCGTTTATGAAACAGACAGCTTTATCAGTCTTTACAGTGTTGTATCAAACAAAAAATATTGCTTCTATACTGAAAAAGAAAGATTCCTCCACTTACTATACACGTTCGTGATTTTAAAGACGTTGTAGAAATCTCAGGAGTTTCTAAACATTAAAGTCGACCAATCCATTTATCTTGACGATAAATGTGATGCACGTAAACCATTTCACTTCTTAAAATTTAACGTTTCCAAACGAATTTTATTAACTTAAAAGAAGTGATTTGCGAAAAGATCCATGACACTTTTTTATTTGAACAGTCTCGTAATCGTTTCTCTAATGCTGATTATGCACACCACTGAACTCCAATTAAAAGCTTCATTAATTATGTACATTTATGAATAATAAGTTCTACTGTTCAGCTGTCAACTACTCATTCACAACACTTATTTCCTCGAGTTAGTGTTAGTAAAGCACTGCTAAGATGCAATTGTTAACGAAATAGGCGAAATAAATCATAGATGATTCTTTATCATCTGTAAAATACTCCACGGTAAATAACAATGGAGTGTAAAGTTTGCAGTCAGAGTAGTTTAAATGCCTCTTAACAATTCATCTTATCCACTCAACACAAATGCACCTATCATTTGAATGACCCACGAAGCTCTTCTTAATTGATCTAGTGACTAAACTCCAACGCATCATACTTGTGGCCAAGTGAAATTCACACTCAAAATGTTTCGACATTCACACTGACACAGGGGCATCTTAATCCTTTGTAGAAAAGTATCAACGAAAGCATAGTGTAAACATTGTGAAAGTTTGTGTGAATCTAATAAAACGACATCACTGGACTTTGCACATATTACTATACTCATCGAATAACCATGTAGAAATCAAGCAATACATATATTTTTCACAAAGGTTTAGTAAAAACTATCAGTAGTTTGATATTAGACCACCTTGTTCAAACAAGCCACTAAGCTAGCACTGAAGAAACTATTCTATCATCTATCAGGTACCGAATAAATTGCCAGAAATCTCTAAATACTCCAAATAACTGAGGCCATTGCAATTCGCTTAAAACAACCGGAGCTCTGTGTGTCGAAGAAACAGGTCCAGCCACAACTGCTACCCTGGCCTGCTATGGAATGTAAATTCATAAATACTGTATTACTTCCCACAATATATCTGATATTTAGTCTAGTGTTATACTGATGTACATTATCACTTACAAGTGCTTTTGAACTATAATCGCTTGATATGAGTAATTCTGTTATTTTTTTAAAGAACACTAGTCTTGATAATAATTCTTTCATTATTATGGATATATAACTGTCGAACCTGATGAAGTTATCGAAAAGAATATTCTTTGTTTATTAATGGGTATTCTTAATCAATCTCCGTATCTGATCTTTTTAGGGATTCATTTATATAGTCTTTACCACACCTGCCGTCGTACTTAACAGCCGTTTGGGAGACCTCCTAGACTGTGTGAATTATGCAGTAGCACAGAGATCCACTCATTCTGGCGTAAACATCATTTACATTTCATCAAGTCTGCTTATATAGAGAGTAGATTGTTTGTAAGACAGAGGAACACTGTTACTAATATTCCATCTTCCAGATTCTAGGTTGCTCCTCCTGAAACGCTACATCCCATCATGATTTGATTTAGCTAGATGCCTCATAACTAAATGCTTAGAATTGTGGTATAGGCCTCCGATTTATCAAAATCCCAAATAATCAGCTATAAAACTGAAATATAACTTATACAACAATCATGGAAGTCGGATAAAAGAACGGCTAAATCACTTCAAAGCACAGAGGATATCGCAATCCACGTTATACATCCAAAAGGGAACAAAATTAAAATAAATTTTTTTCCTCTTACTTTTGTTAAAAATGTAACTGTAGCTGAGTAATTTGTTTGTGGACAAGTGATGGAAACTTTATCACCGAATTCAACCCATGGAACTGTCAATATTGATCGAGCATATATTGTAGGCAAGGAGAAGTGATATTCTTCATCGTTGTGTTCGCCGAGTTTTAGTGTAACTATAAAAAATAAAACAAAAAAAAGCAAACAATTTGAGAAAAGACAAAATCTAAAAAATCTGTTATCCGTCACATAGTGAAGCGAGCAGGCAGGCATCACGATCAATGTAAACAAAAAATAAGTCTCAGAAAAATAAGCATAGGGTATGGAAATTTATGAAAATATTTTCTTTCTCGGATATTTTCGAGCTCAGTCAGTTGAAAATATAGAAAGGGGAAAAGATTATTCTGCATTGATGAAAACTTTAATAAAGTATAGAGATAGTAAGAATGCTCAGTATGCTGACTAAAACCCTATTATCACCATCTTTAACCTATCCATTATTTAATTGCAGAATGTTGAATGAAAAACACCTTCACTTGAGAACAATATATAACAACAATAACTGCAGTTAACAATCTAATGATCTCAGATATTTATACAGCTTAAGTGATCCCATAAACGGCAAGGTAGGGCCAAAGGTGAGTAGACTTTGGTCTTCCTCTCAAAATGCTCTCATATGGCCACTCGTTCAAAGCCTTTACCAGGCCAATTTTATTCACTGTCTTGACGCCGCGGAGGCATCCCTTATAAAAGTGAAAGGGCAAGTGCAACAGTTCCACATGTACAACTGGACTGGTGGACATGCTGGCCTACCTAGACCTGGAAAACTCTGATTCCAAACCTAGGGTGTACATGAGCTCCAGAATCCGAAAATATTGAATGGTGTATGAGCATGTTACGGTAACCGTCAATCACGGGGACACAGTTTCTGACCCTGCTCCACTGCCTCGTGCATCAGATTTCAAGTTAGTGGCTGCGGCGGGGGGGGGGGTCTTAAGACAACTACGTGCTTTGGTTTGGGAGAACAGGTAGTATATCCCAGCCGTCACACAAACTGAGATTCTGAGAGGCGCATCTATTGATGCCAATAATGTACAAAGTTTGTGTTTTAATAAACATATAAATTCAGCATAAGTCAACAGAAGCATCCATGCTTGTTTATTGGAACGCTACGTGAATTACAATCTGCCAAAATGAGACTATCTCAGATTGTTTCACCATCAGTACAATTTGCTTGCTTCTCTCTTAATTCACTGTATGATTAAGATTGAAAGGAAAAGACCTAGTTGGACAGTAACCGTGATGACAAACAGCCAGTGACAACGGGATATTTTCCGAGGTGATTCCAGTGCAACAACTACCTGATAGCACTTAGTTCAAGTAGGTCAATTAAGTGGACTATCTGATTGGGTTCCTCAGGAAGCTAAGAAACAGTGACTGGAGACTACTGATAATATGGTCCAAAATTGTTCTCAGATGCATTCACTCTAATGTTTTCCATGTTGCGATTCCTTTTCCCGAACATTTCTACTTATTATAAGTCTTTTGAATTATTTCTTTCCCTCTGCCTTTTTGTGGTATATAGAGTGTGCCAACTTTAACTCCTGCACTTCTATGAGACGTTCTATGTTGAAACTCAGTCAGTCAAGTAAGGTCAAGTAGGACAGCTGTCATAATACCGAACTAGTAATGAGGAGGTTGGTGATTGAAATCTTGATGCGACCCAGATTTGCGTTACACTTTCAGTCATCATCCGTTTCATGGATTACAGATTGTCAACCCAAGGCTATCTCAGATAGTTTCACCGTCAATATCTTGGATATTTTATTAGAATAATTTTAAAGCTTTCTGTTACCTTTTGTAAGTAGATATGCAGATAAAACAGCGAAAAGGGTAATTAAAGCTACTCAATACCTTCATGTTGTACTACATTCTCAGGCAATTTTATTAACGGCGTCTTTTTTAAAAAACCGCCCTGCAGCAATCGAATCAATCAATACGTTAATGAGGAAAATGTCTGAACACTGGGTCCATTCAGATATCTAGAGTTTATGTAAATTTGTGGCACTTGTAAAAAAAACTTTACTTTCGAGATATGAATTATTTCCTTTTTTGTGTTTGAGCTTTTTGAGTTTTCAGTCGCGGTGGTGTTTTTTTACGGAGATGCAATCGCTAACCTCATGCCAAACCTTCCATCTTTTTCAAGTTTAATGACAAGACGAAATTCAGGAGTGTCAGTCGAGAGTGGATTTAACAAGTTTTGTTACATTATTATTGATTGGATGGAGGATTTCATCATGAGCTGACATCAGTTAGACAACCACTGGGAAACCTGGGAGTATTGGACAGCTGTTTCTCCCTAGTCTTCAGCAGTACGCACCCAGCGGTGTTCGAACCCCAATACCTTCTAGTTACAAGGCGAGCTCGTAGACCATTGAGCCACTGGAACCCGATTCAATGGCCCATGAATTCCGGTTCCAGTGACTCAATGGTCTACCAGCTCTCCTTGTAACCAGAAAGTTTTTGACTAACTGAGTCCGTGTTATTGATAAATAATGTTCACCAAAATAAATGTGCATGCTTACGTTTCCCCAAGATAGCAGTATAAGCACTCATTCCTTGAAATTTAGACTTAGCGCATATTGATGCAGTCAATCCCATTTTCTTTGAAGGACAAGAAAAATGAAGAGCAGTCACAGGAGGTTGATGTGAAACTTGTTCAGCATAGTATCTTATTATTATAGGTGAATTATTATTACTATGTGATGTTTTGCATTTATCTTTATATGGCTCTAGTAGAGAGCCTCCACTGTTTAAATTATCACCAGCAGGAATGAGCCAACTGCAATGAAATGTCTCTCCAATAATAGGATTATATGGTTTCTTAGCTATTTTGTCCTTTAAAAAAGAGAATATAATTACAAAATATTAATGCTACTGAAGTTAAAATAAGTAAAAGAAACTCGTTTTAGAGTGAAAGTGTTTGAAAATGAAAAAAGTAAGGGTCTTTAGGGGAAAAAGGCATTCAGAGGCGGCACGTAATCAATGTGTGAACTAGTGTCCAACAGAGAATTTAGAGAAAAATAAGGCTTAGTTGTGTACAACACAGTTATCAGCTATTGACTTCTGCTTGTCAGTTCGACTTCAGTGTAGTTTATGATAACATTCAAAGTCTCTACATGATGAGTAGCATGTACTTTACTTGGTTGCAGTGAAGTTGCTTCACTCCCATTTTTACTTTCATTAACAGTGAAAGTAGTAATTAGCAAAGTACAACAAACCACGCCCAGAAAAACATCAGATGATCGAGTATGCTAATCATGTCTACTGAATAACATCACTTTGAACAGCTTATAAGTTGCATCATAGAAAACTTTTCTTCGATAAAAAAACAACGCAATAATACAGTGCGTTTATTTACTGATGATATTTCGAGCACAATTTATTGCTCATAATCATTTTGAGGCACTCAAATCACTTTCAGCCACTCACTGCCTACAATCGCCTATATTACTTTTTAGAACTGTAGTTTTTGTCCCAATCTGTTGTGTTATTGTGTGCTAGTGCAACAAATTGTGATCGCCGAGTTTTTCTGTAAGCTACAAATATACACAAACAGAGGAGTGGGGCAGTGGAGTCACTCATATATTCCCAATCGTAGCAGATATCTTTATGCATAGTTGGGGAAATGTGGCTCTTAGAACATTTAATCCTAACACAAAGTTATAATGGCGATACATGGATAACATTTCAGTAACAGAAAAAACAGAACACATTTCTAGTTTCTTCACACAAATAAACTCAGTATTAGAGGCAATTAAATTTACATTTGAGTTATTAAATGAACAAGGGAACTTAGTTATGTTACATTGTTAAATAAAGTGATTGGGAGAAGGTGAAACTATATATTCACTAGTGTTTGTAAAAAATCAAGTCACTTCAATAAATATTTACACTTTAAGTCATCCCAGTCTTTATCTGTAAAGGTAAACTTAGGTAAATGTCTAACAAATCGAGTAACAACTCTAGGTAGTACATCAGAAAAGTAATGAAGTGAAATAGGTAGATAAGGCATTGATGCTAAATAACTATTCCATAAACTTCACTAGGAAGATAGAAAAAGCTCACAATAAGAAAAAAATAGTAATGGATCTTCTGACCATAACATAAATAGGAAAGAATTTAGGACATCTATAGTTTCACCGTATAAAGAAGTGACCTATGAAACCCTACACAGGATTCTCAATGAATCAGAAATTGGAGTGACATTTATACCTTCTAACTCACTCAAGGACAAGCTATGTAGCCTGAAAGGACTCTTATGGAGAACTGAGGGGCAGTCTTAGCACATACAAGAGATAGCTATCCTGTATAATTGTTTTTACTACTTACTTTGATTTCTACAAAAATTTTCAAATTACGCGTATTTACCATGGGCTTATGTGATTGCTCATCCAAAGTCAGTTCGACGGTCATTCGCATGGGTCGCTATACTTTACTCTAATCCTAATACCTTCAGAATAAATCAGATTACATAAAACTATTATCACCACTTGAAAGCAAGAACATTTGTACAAGTAAATAAAAACATATAGATAAAAAGTAACTTTAAAAGAGCGAACCTTCTTTCCAGCATGAAATGTAGTAAGATACCATTGAACGAATGCTAACATACGCGCTTCAGGATCTTCATAGTCAGTAATGCTAAAAACAAAGGGATATATGTATGCGGTTAAGTTACATTTCAACAAGACACAGTGACTTAACATAAACCGTATTTACTAAATAATACACAACTTGTATCATAATTATGCACTCATCTTTCGCTTTCATTAGAATGTTAGTTCGTGTAGACTATTTAGCGTGGACAGCAACAATATTTATTAAAAATGAATCAGCTTATAAAAGCAGTAGGACAATAAAAGTAGGCGGCTGAAAGCTCAACGGAAGTCAAAGAAAGCTAAGAAAATGTCAGTTGCCACGGGTCTGAATTATGTAATGCTTGTAAAGCAATCATGGAGAAGGTGGAGACTTCAATATTAAAGTCTGCGCTGAAGATATCGTCTAGAAAGACAATCAAAGATTCGCAGTTAAACCACTCAGATCACAGTACACAACCATACCAAAAAACAAACACGTTCTTTGGTTAGAAACATCAGAGGATATAGCACAAAATCAATGACAGTGATGCAGATACATTCAAACAGTATCCTTTTCAAACCACAATACCATTTACCATTCTTTTCCCTATCTCTCACCTTATGTTTTGCTGTTTTAAATCGTACTTCAATAAACTAGTATGAAGTGTTTAAACCTAGACCATGGTGTACATTTTTTGACTCCATTAACGTTGAAGGACGAAGGAGACGTAAGCTTATAAGTTAAGTGGACACACTTTATGTGTGAAGCATAGAGGTAGTGAATAAAACCAGCGTTGGTAAGTGACAACAGACTAAAGAACTTCATGAAATATCAATAATGAAGGTGGCTACTTAGTACGACCTAGGGTGGGCAGACTTCGGTCTTACTATCGAAGAGCCATGTATTCGTAGCCTTTGCAAAGTAGCTCCTTTCATTGACACCACGTGGCGGGTGTTTTCCTCACGAAAATGTACAGGAGAACAGGAACATCTGGCACTTAAAGCCGGACTGGTGGACATGTTGGTCTACCTAGGGGAGCTGGAAAACTCCGATTCTAAGCATATGGTATACACCGTCTTCACAATCCGATTGTATCGAATGACGAATGAACCTGTTTTGACCAACATCAACCATGGGGACGTAAATCCTGACGACATAGGTGTCTGGACTGTATCCCAATCCTGGCACAAACTATAAGATTTTGTGCGACACATCTGTTGGTGTTCATAATGTGCAAGTTTGTTTAATAATAAGGGTAGTGAGAAATTCAATTTCATAAAAAAGCTTAACATCTCATTGGAAACTTTAAGTTTGAACTACATAGAAAGAAAAAACTAAAATATTCAAACAAAAAAGGTGGTAAATCTATTGAATGCTTAATTAATGCAGAGAATGCATCTTATGTAATCATTAAGCAAGGGCAGCAAAAGATTTGAGAAATCATATTAGTTAAGTATCACGACTAATTCGCCTCAATTAACTTTATACAAGTGTGCAAGTAAACTGGTATATATATATATATATATATTTGCCGAGAAGAGATATGCATTTCCCCTCTTTAACTAGGAAACTAAATGTTATAAAATGAGGATAAACTCTTTCAGTAAAACTATTTGAAATAAGCCATGCATAGAACTTGTGCATCAGTGGTACATTGGTATAATGCTCGTCTACTACACACATACAGGTGGTCCTGGCCACTGATGCACTCCTAAAACTCGATAAGTCATAAGTAAGCCCAGTAAATAGAGAAGGCTGGGCATGAGGCTAACAACCCCACCTTGTAAAAGAAAACAACACTGTTATTGAAACCTCAAAGCTCAAGTTTGAATTCACATGTTCCACTCAGAACGCAAAGGAATGAAATTAAAATTTAGTAAAAATACATACGAGTGCCACTGCCTCTTGTTTAACTGGTTATCAGTTGTTATTTGTTGTTTAGGTTGATTTGAATTTCCTGTTAACTGACTGAACAGATTGACTGGAACAAATGTCCAAATCAAGCTTAGATTTAATGATTTAAAAAACGTTCACTATTGTTAAAATTCGCATTTTCCAATGAGTGGAACAATATTGTTTTTACTGACATTTCACTACTTAATGGAAACAGCTTTATTAATGTAATAATAAACCAGAATTTACAAAATTATAGTTTATACATGCTAACTAAGATCATAATTCTTTAGTATGAGATGATTCTACATTGTCAATTGAATAAATTAATAAAGATAACAAAAATGTGCGGATTGTTGGATTTGATAAGTATGCGAATTATAAAAACAGCAAGTATTTACAATGATGAACAACACTTTTCACTTTAATGTACAAGATGTTAGTTAATGAGGTGGTGGGTGTTGGTGCTGGATGTAGATTAAATGCTATGCCAACCTGTTATTCCGGTCCACTATTGCTTCGATAAAGCATTAAAACTGAGAAACGTCAGTAAAAACTATACCGTTTTGTTTTTCACCCACTTGGAAATTCAAGTTTCCACTATTAAGAATAGTAAATACCATTCAATAAAGTATAATTATATTTCAATGGTTTACACACAATGATTAGTTGAAGCATAACCATAAGATTGAGATTTGGTTGATGGTGGGGTGACTAGCAGTGGAATCTAGGATGCTCATTTCAACCTATTTAGGACTCATCACTGGATGAACCCGCATCCCCAGGTAGTGATAGATGATGCTCCAAATGACACTCGCATTCAGCTCCAATCATCTCAGCGTTATCCCCTAGACCAATGGGCGATGAAAGTAACCTCTTGTGTAACAGGTGTCAGTCATAATTTCCTAAGAAAAACAAAACGACGGTTGTAGTGAAGAGAAATTCTTCCTTTCGACGGAGTTTACGACTAGACTGTTTGATCTAATTTGTATTCCGTACACGGAGACGATATGTCAATAGAGACCAGGCATTTCGGCCCAATATATTCAATGAAAGAAAAAAACATAAATCAAATAAAATGAATAACAACTGATTTAAGGTTAGGCATACAGTGTTAGCTAAGGAGGGTAAGTCAATCGATGAGGTTGTAAAGCAACATTGATTGATATGGCTAGAACATGTGCTAAACACGCCAGGAATTGTCTTCCTCGGCAGGCAATGTTAGCCGACATAAGATTAGGTTGGAAAAAAGTTAGGGATCGTCAAATCAAAACACTGCATCAACGTATGAAGTCCCTGACTGTGGGTTTGAGCCACGCAGGGAGATCTAGGCTGTCCTGGTTGTGGTCTTCAAGATGTTAAGAACCAATGACTGGAGATATGGCTCAATAACGCAGATCCATTCCAGTCTTTATGATCTCCCATATCCACCAAATCGGTCAGGTTTTCCCAAATTACCATCCTTTCTCTATCTCAATTCTGTTTATTATACCTCTTTTGATTCTCTTTTTTCTTGTTTGTCTACCTTTGTATGCTATATGGAGTGTGGGAACCTGAACTGCTCCACATCTGTGCTAAGTTCAATGTTGAAACTCAGTCAATCAATCACATTACCAAAAGATTGAACAGGAAAAAGAAGATAAACAATTTGTTGAACATAGGGGCTCATAAATGCATTAAATTAACAGTATTCAAAGTGTTTACGTTCAATTAAGCTAACCCCATAATGAACAACAACAAAATTCAGTATGAAGTTAATCTCAGTTACTCAAAGAATAAAACACTTACCTGCAAAATAGATTTGGATGCGCCATGTAATTAGCAAACATCTCTAGTAAGGAATATTTCTCCAAAATAAACACAGGAAGGGCAACCTTTGGCGGAATAGAAACAAAACAATCATGAACACCGTATTAAGTAATATGACACATATAAGAGAAAGAATTAAAACAATGCGAATTAACATGCTTTAAAACTAACAAAGCCTACAACTCTAATATAATAATATAATAGCATTACCATAAACTCTATATTATACAGTTGTATAAATATAATGTGCAAAACACTGTTTTTATTATTCACCTTATTACGAATGTCAAAAAAGAATACTATTTAGGGGAATTTTTGTATCCCAAAAGAACAAATAATCAAGAAAATAGATTAAATGAAGCCAAAACAGCTATCAAACACCAACTCTACCTTCATGCAGTGTGTGCGTTTATAGTATATCTAACCTGACCAAAAATAATTGCACATACTAAACTACTAAAAAGAAATAATATTTCTTACAACATACTGAACTACTTAGCTTTCGAGCAAATAATAATTCGACCTCTAAGAAAAACAAATTCGATGAAGGAATATTCATTTTTCAATCAGATCTTCTTCATGAACGACATCACATTGATAAGTGGTGTTCCTGTTAGACGGTATATGACGTACCAGACCAGTAGTGTTAAATCAGTTAACAATAACCTAATAACATCAACATGTTTAAAAAGCGATAAGCAAAAAAATTAGGGTAGAACACTTTCTAATAAATAACAGACACAGTTCATATCTTTCTTGAAAGTGTGTTGTGAAAGCTATATTTCACGTTCTGAAGGGAACAAAGGGCTCCAAGCTTTGGAATTTCAGTAGCAATGGTGTTCCTTTTGCAAGGCAAGGTTGTTAGTCATCCGCCGAAACTTCCCTCTTTCTTGGGTTTAATATCGGCCAGTAAATAAAGCGAGGTTTAGGTGGGCGTCGTCCGGGTGGATTCTGTCATTAAACCACCGACACAAATAGAATTTAGCCTACCACATTAAAAGTAATTTTTGTTCAGGGAAATAGAATTTTAACTAGAGGTCACACGATCATGCACAAAACAGAAAGGGAAGAGTAGAACTCCAAATCAGAAAGGTATATGACTACCTTAAGAGTTTGTCATATTGTAACAACAGAACGCAAGACACGGTAGTCAAGGTATATTTTTCATCTATCAAACCACTGTTTATATATATATATATATAAAGAAAAAGATTCGGATTCTGTTCAAAACAAATGTGAAGTCAGTCATTTATTATATATGGATCAGAAACTTGGTGAGTCACAAAAAAGATTTCCAACAAGTTACAGACTTTTATCAACAGCTGCCTTCACTGGCTCCATACTGAAGATCAAATGTCTGGCCAGAAAGAATAAGCAACAAGAAACTACGGGGACAAACCAACCAAGAGTCGATCGCTCAATAAATACGTAGGAGAAAGTGGAGATGGATCGGGCATACGTTGAGGCCATCGAATGACACCACGCGCCGGGTCATCACTCGAATGGAATCCCAATGGGAAGAGACAAGTGGATCGTCAGTGCGAGAGTGGCATAGAGAAGATTGTTTGCAGCAGAGAGGGAATGAGAAATTGTAAGCAGTTATGTACCCAGCTGAAGACGGAATGTGTAGTATAAGTCATATATTTCACTCGGAACCCAAGGGTATAACAATAACTCACTCAACATTTGTACCAATTGTTTGATGCTATCAAAACTTTGATTACTTACTATAGATGTTTCTATATTGTGTTACACCATTACAACTTATTTCGCAAAGACTTAGTGACGAAATGTCCTCACCTGCATAGGAAAAAACTGAGCAAATATAATCGACATAAAGTCACTGAGAGCATGAGTAACCTTGAGGTATTTGTCATTAGGGGCCTTTAAAGCATTGACAACATGTGCTGGAAAACTGAACGAACACTGCTGGGAGAGAACATACAATATTATATAAGGAAGGTGGATCGGTCAAGAAGCATCTAAATCAGAAATCAATGTTATGAATTTCTAGTCACCCAGTGAATTATAAGCAATAGTTTTTTTTTCTTTTACGCCCCAAGTGGAACATAGGGAGCTTCAAGCTTGAGATTTGAAGTCGAAGTAGCGGTGGTGGTGTTCTTTTACGAAGTGGGGTTGCTAGCCTCATCATGTCTAGCATTCCCTCTTTTTCTGGGCTTACTATCGGCTAAGTAAGGTTTAGGAGTGTGTCGATGGCCAAGAATCGACCCGGGACCACGTGTGTAGTTGGCGAGTATTCTACCACTGAGCCGCAAACGTACCAGAAGGCAATATTGTGTGAGCTTAATTTTTTCTTTGACAAATAGATAATTCTGTTCAAAGCTAGGACGTTTCAAATATAGTCACCTTTAGTCATATATATAAACAGATAGATATCAAGAGGAAAAGTACACAATTTTCTACACGAATAACTTATTTCTTTACTTGAAAAACAACTACTGCTTATTTGCCTTTTTGCTTCTTTTGTTTTATCTTACCCTTGTTAAATCCATCCCGATTTTCAGTTGAGAAAGTAAGTGTAAAATAACTGCTTTCTGTTCTTCACTATCTAATTTTAAACTGTCCTCATTTTCTTTATGAACATCATATCGATGACTTGTATCATCTTGTATCTTTTCTTCCTTTTCTTCTTCATCTTTTGGTATGTCAATACAGCCGACTTGCATATTTTTTATCGGTAATGGATATTTTGCCAGAATATCCTGTACATCATCAGTTAATGTAGAATTGACACTTGAGCATATCAGAGGAAAGAAAGAGAACAAGAGGTAAGAATCTATAGCACAGCATGAAAGGTAAATAACATAGGTAAACGAAGCTTTTATTATTCTCTTGTGTTCCACTCAGAATACAAGGCTTCAAGCATGAGCTATGAAGTTCTAGGAAATGATGCCAGTTCGGAAATTCACAAGTCTAAATGTTACTCAAGACGACAAGTAATCCGCTTTCATCTGTGAATAAACCATGAAATGTTCAACACTGAGTTTTATGTTATATCACTAATTTCAACCACCATTAGGAAAAACGAAAGCTCATTTGGGTCTGTAGAGGGACGTTAGATGGTATGAATGAGTAGTTTTAGAGTAAATTCATCAATTGTACTATTTGCACGACTCAGGTAACTGATGAACAGATGATACCTATGTAACCCCTGATTAAAAAATTACACATCTTGTTTTAATCCACTGGGAAATAAAGTTTACACGTAAAAGATGATCTATGACTTTTGTCGTTTGCTTTATTTAGTACACTGATGCATATTCACCATTTGTGTTTATTGTGAGAACTTAAGTATATGGAGTTTCAGTAAATATTAATGCAAAATTGTACATAAGAAAATTGTTATTTAAACCACAGTATTTCTAATTTTACCCAAAATCACAATTTTTAACGATAATACACATATTTATTAATTATTATTCCCTTGGGTCGTGGGCGGAACATAGGGATTCAACAACACATCTCCACTTTGTTCTGTTTTCTGCCGTCCTCTTCAGCTGAGTCCACGACTGCCCACGACTTCCATGTCACCCTCGCACCAACGACCCACTCGTCGCTTCCAATTTGGATTCCACTAGCGGGCCTGGCGTGCGATGTCATTCGGCGGCCTCCTCAATGTATGTCCAATCCATCTCCACTTTCTCATATACATTTATTGAACGATTGGCTCTTGGTTGGTTTGTTCCCGTAGTTTCTTGTTCCTTATTCTTTCTGGTCAGACATTTGATCTTCAGTATGGAGCCAGCGAAGGCAGCTGTTGATGAAAGTGTGCAACCTCTTGGAAACGCTTTTCGTGACACGCAGTACAAGTTTTTGACCCGTGTAGAAGAACTGACCGACTTCACATTGATTTTGAAAATCCGAATCTTATTCCATATGCTGAGTGCGGAAGATTTCCAAACTGGTTTCAGGTTGATGAAGGCGTATCTTGCCTTTCTGTTTCTGAATTGACATATTCATCCGTACCGCCTGTAGTTGACTGATGTTGGCGAAATCATGATAGCCACTCCCTCAGTGAGTTCCTGGTTGTCGTCTGGGTGACCGGAGCAGATTATTGACTCTCCCGTTTACAATGTTGTCAATCCACATCCATTCCATCTGCTTTCACAGATACCCAGAACTTCTAAGCCATATCTCCGCATTTCTCCGGCTACTTGGGCAGCCTTCCCAGTCTCGTACATTGTACTGACATTCCATGTACCCATTTTTACTCTTGCTTTCATCGAGAGAAGACACATTAGCTGACTAGCTTCTGGAAAGCTATCACCAGCCTGCGTCATCTCGCCTCTCTTATTCGACCGAAGAATAAGACTGTTGTTATTTGAAGTTTTTGTATTTTCAATATATTTTCACATATATATACAATACACATGCCTACCTAGTATAAGTTAGCCTCATCATTATGAATGGTGTAAGTTGAATTAAAGATAAGCAAAAAACTTATAATGTAAAAATCAAAGAACATTATTGAATAAGAACAGTGGCTTATTGGTCGAAACGTTAAACTAAAACTCACTGCATCATAAGTATATATTGTTATTATTACTAAAACACAAATTTGGTACATTACGAGCACTAAGAGATGCGCAATACAAAATCGCATGGCTTCTATAAGAGCTGGGATACTGTCTGGAAGTTCAGACCAAAACAGATGGTTGTCTTCAGAGGCCAACCCGCAAGCCTTTGACTTGAAGTCTGGTCCACAAGGCATTGAGGCAGAGTCAGGAGCCACATCCCCATGATTTCCAGTGACCGAAACAGGTTCATACGCAATTCGATCCTTTCAGATTCTGAAATCAGGGTTTTTCATATCCTGTAGGTACACCTTCATGTCCACCAATCCAAATGTAAGCGGCATTCACCCTTTTATTTTTGTAAGAAACAGCCTTCCCCCCCCCTTTAGATCACGTGATGTCAATGAATATGACTTAGCTTGTAGAGGCTATGCACGCGTGGCCACATGAGAAAATTTCCAGTGGTAAACCGGAGTCTACTCAACCTTCACCGTACCAGGTCGTTTATGTGGACAGGATTCGAATTTCGACTCACCTACAGAGGTTTTGACAGCCAAGTAATATCATTAGCCTTCATATAACAGAAGTGGCTTATATTTTATTTTTATTTTTGATTACAGCATGACTCCACACCGTATTTTTGGCACAAGTATGGAATTTTCAACGTGGATATCGGTAGACCAAATTTCGCAGGCCGAACATAGATATCAGGTGTGCGTCGGCGTGGGCTCGAACCCCGGATCATGTGCATGGTCGGCAAGAGTCCTAACCACTGTGCCACCATAGCCAACTGTATGGAAATATCAGTGGTTATTGAGCAGAAATACAGTAAGGATGATAATTCTTGAGCTTCCTATTATCGTCAACGTCTTATTACTAGACTGAATGAATTTTTTGAGCTGCACAAATAACCCAAATGACCGAGAAATTCATCTCAACTACAATCGAATAGCATTCAAGATTAGTGGGAATTCTGTGCAAAAGTTAACCAGAAATTATTCATACTTTACTCTTCTATGAAGAAGGTATTAACAAATGTTAGTTGGCCTGGAGATGATTAAATATTAAGTGTAAAGATGGTATATACATGAAATGAAATATACCTGGAGATCGACTCAGTAGTAGCAGCAGTAGTAGTGTTCTTATAATCAGGTTTGCACGACTCAGACACCTCAACAACAGAACTGCAAAAGTCCCCTGAACCGGATCTCTCTGCACTACTTGAATTCAATGATCTAGTCTTTGATGAAAAAGAAGAAAAAAACAAGAAATGAAGATTTTTCGGTGGTGAATTTCCTCTTCCAAGAGTTAAAAAAAATTAAAGTAGCACAATTCACCTGCTAGTACAAGAGTTAAAACAGTGTACGATGCATGATGATGACGAAACTTCAGCTATGATAAACCTATTTATACGAAAATACTAAAGAGAATGAATTAAAGTACTGCGTAAATCAGCAGAGTATGGTAATCTGAACTGCTTCAGCTTTGTGCAAAGTTCTAAGTTGAAAATTCAGTTAGTTAATGAGGATATAATTTATAAGTTGATTGATACACTTATATGGTAATTAATTTATATGGAAACAGAGTAAAGTTTCCCCACTGTGTTTCACCGATGACGGATATGTTAATGCATATGAACTACTAACGTGCGATTTCCTAAAGTAGGCTGTTATTTCTACCTTTACTGTAGAAATCGATACGGATATCACACTGGTCAAACTAAACCAAAAATCATAGCTCACATCATCCATCTTACTGTTGAGTCCTAAATGAGAAAACTAATTATGCATACCTGTTATTTCACATAGCGTGATAGCTTATATTTTTGTCCATAAAAAATTATTACTTTCTTTCCAACATACTGTTTGCTTGATTATTCTATATAATACACACATGTGAGCATTTGTTTAAGTTGATTTTGTTTTTCCCGCTCACTGATTGTAAGCAAATGTTCGGTTTCCGTTGACATTTTGCCTCCTAGTACAAATCCTTCGATGATGCCTGAGACTTAACATGTTAATTCGTGAATGACAGCCAGCAGTGGAATCCAAGATGAGCATTTCGTTCTGTTTGATCCAATATAACCAATCAACCGGAAATAGAAAGTTAACTTAAACAAATAATACCTTATCCCTATTGCACAAAAAGTGATACTCATGGCCTGAGTGGCCTAGTGAATAACACTTAGTCATTTGAAATGACAGGTGCTGGGTTCGATTCTCAGTGAGAACATCATCCATCACTCGATGGAAATCCCGGGTATAATCAGATGGCCAGTCTGAAATAAGACGAAATGTACATCCTAGAATCCACCAAATAACAAACGTATAAGTAGCAGGTGTTATAATTTTTTGAAATTTACTAACCATTTTTCCATTCTCAATTCCATTCGCTATATCTTGACGTTTAATCAACTCCATGCAACGCTTTAAACAAGTCAGTGTCGCTTGACTAGTAGCTTTTGACAAGAGAAGGTTCTGCAAAAAGGAAGAAATATGCATATTACAACAGAGTTCAGATATACAGAAACAAAACGTAACATTATTACTATTATTATACAGTTTAAGACAAATTTTTTTATAAATAATGGACATTGAAAAGCCTATTCCTTTTAAATATCAATAAGGTTTCAGGATATATATTTAGACAAGAAAAAACACAACTGTTCAAGTAAGTTATATGTCAAGCTCTATCACACAACGTGATTAAAAATATACGAACTATGAGAACTTCTGACAAGTACCCAATGTATGCCAACTTTCAGATATCTTGTTCACTGATACGGATATCGATAAGTAAAATAGATTTTACTAGAATAACTCTTGCAAGTAATAATATCAATATTTTGATTTACTTTAGTTATAATAGTAACGACTACAATAAGTCGCTTAATTGGTGCCACTTTGATTGGACTAAAAATATTATTGATTGGAAGTATTAGAACTTAATTTATAGCACTTCCCATCAATTAGTCGAAGAGAATGATCATTATAATATCATTGTCATTCTCCTAGGTTCCCAGTGGAATATAAGGCTTTAAGACCACATCGCCATTTCACTCTCTTCTATGCAGTCGTATTTAGATGGCTACACCACTGACTCTAAGCTTTCCTTTCCTCGTCACATGATCTCTTCAACGTCACGAAAATTGTTGTTTCCCACTGGGGCTTTACTCGACGGCCTGGCGAGCAATGTCACTTAACGGTATCCTCAGCGTATGTCCATCTCCACTTTCTTCGATATGTTTGTTGGTCGGTTCGTCCTCAGTGTCTTTTTGCTAATCATCTTCGACAATCCGATCTTCAGTATGGAACGAAGGCGGGTTTGAAGAAAGCAGCAGCCTGTTGGAGATGCTTCACGTGACATGTGTGTCTAGAAGAACTCACTGACCTGAAATTAGTGTTGAAAATCCAAACCTTGTTCTTCATGCTGAGCGCAGCAGCACTAATCCCAGATTAATGAAGATCTGTCTTGCCTTTCTGACACTGGCTTCGATATCTCCATCCATGCCACCGATAGTTGAAATGATGCTGTCTAGATAAGTGAAAGAGGTGATTTGGAATAAAGTGATTATATCACATATTTCCTTCAGATTTCCCCCGTTGATCGTGATCGGTTCTTTCCGTTGTTGTTTAGGTATCTTCACCACCTGTTTTCTGTATATCCACCTTCATTCTTTCCTGTCTTCGCCGACTCTTTTGCCAACGTGTTGGTTTTCACCTGTACACCTTCGGGTTTATTTGACACTAGACATAAATCATCTACGAAGTAAAACGTTGTGTGAGTAACATGATATGATTATGAGCAGTAATTTGTGCTCGAAACGTCATCAGTTAATATTACTGTACAACACTGTGTGATTTATCAAAATAAAATCTTATCCATAGTGGAGTTATACTCTGCGACAGTAACCAAGTTTTATACTTATATTAATAATACGTTGGGTTGGTCAATAACACTGGAAGATCTGATATAATTATAAAACTTGGGCACTGTTGCAGAGCATAACTCCATTATAGATACCATTTTATTTTGATAAATCACAGTGTTACATATACAGTAATATTAACTGATGACGTTTCGAGCACAAATTACTGCTCATAACAATAATAATTACCGTCACGTAAAATGAGTTAGTAGAAATCCTTAGACATAAATAAAAGATAACATAAACGGTTAAAATGCACGAAGTAACAAGACACTTGAACAATGTGAAGGGGAATGACTAGTTTTACGTATCGGCTAATAGTGTTTATATTCAGATATGATAGAGAAGATTTGTGGCTCAGGTGGATGATTTTGATGTGGTTGTGTTCTCTGAACTCAGAGAACAGACATCAACCACACCATTTAACTATGTAAACGACTAGTGAAATACTACATCTTAAGGGATTTAGCAGGAGAATAAGGACTACTACTATTACTACACTCAAACAATCTTTCTCATCTTTGTTAAAATTAACAAAAGACACAACAAGAAAACTAAATTTACAAGTTGGACGAAAGAGATTTCAACCTACTTTAAATACCTCAGTAATTTCAGGACTTCGAATAGATGTTGCCTAAGTAAATAAAATAATAATTAAAATATATAAATTACAACAATCTTGTGTTTACGAAATAAGAGGTTGATAATTAATTCAATCTAGATCAGTAAATGCAACTTAATTGTAGATTTATATAAACAACAACCGCTGGCTCTTCTGAATCACGTCTCCACATTTTGATCTGGATGTTTGTAACTCCACTCAGTTTGTTTGTTTATTTGAATTCAATCAGCCGGGACAAATCTTCCATATACAAGGCTAAAAGCTAAATTTGTCATGTGAGGGCTGGTAATGCTTCCCAGTTGCCGAGGCTAAAGTAGATGCAGTGGAACACGAATTTGTGGTGCATTGGATGAAAGTTGAATACTGTAAGCCAGTAAGCTACATCTCCAGTTATGTATGCCTACAAAACAATCCCTTTTCACGTTTAAATGAATATTATATCTTTATTTTTGTGAATTACAAACTCATCACTGATAATAACAAACAGTTAGATTTTTGAATTACTTTTCCGTGAAAAGAGACAGACTTACAACCAGTAAATCAAGAGTTCAAATCTTCAAAATACGTAGTTTTGAGCAATTATGCTGTATTGCTTTCGTTCGTACTGAGATTTGACCGAATTATACTTAATTAATTTTAGATATCCTCCTTCTGTATGTATACCCTCGAAGTTGTTTTGAATTTTAACATGCACATAAAAAAACTGCAACATGTATGAAACACTAAATGACTAAAAGTATTGTGAAAACCGACAGATGGCATCCTGACGTAGAATGTCTAGCATGAATGCTACAATTATTCCTGAAGGTCATAAAAGACAACTAGACGACAGTACGACGAAGAGCGGTTACAATGTTTCTACGACGACGAAGTTCTTACGGTCAAGTTACATTACTGGCAGTAGGGGGTGTAAGATATTTCCCCTAAACAATAAACAAGATCAGTTTCTTCTACATGCTTCCATCAGCAAACAAAGTTGTTCTGTTCTGATGACGACCAGTGGTGTCCGTCAAGGATGCCCATTATCCCCTTTTTTATTCAACTTCATCATAGATGTGTTAATGGACTTAACCCTAAGTGACTTCAGCGACTCAGGAATTGACTTGCTACCAGGGAATAATCTCGTTGACTTAGAATATGCAGACGATATAGTCCTCCTAGGCGACGACTCTGATAAAATGCAGAGTCTTCTAAACAGCTTGAGCTGCAATCTACAATTGTTTGGCATGCGATTCGCTCCCGCCAAATGCAAGATGATGTTACAGGACTGGACTACATCGACGCCTAGTTTAAAAATAGGAAGTGAAGTGGTAAAGCACGTTGACCGATTCACTTATTTGGGAAGTACCATCAGCCAGTGCCAATGGGTTGATCTCTGAAGAAATCTCAGCACGAATACAAGGGGCTCGTTTCGCATTTGTTAGTTTACGCCGACTTTGGCGTAGACGAGATGTTCGACTATCGACCAAAGGGCGGGTGTACTGCTCATCAGTCCGCTCCGTCCTCCTTTATGGTTGTGAGACCTGGCCACTGAGAGTGGAAGACGTGAAAAGACTAGCTGTCTTTGATCATAGGTGCCTGCGCTCTATTTCCCGTGTAAAGTGGTATAATAAGGTGAGCAACATTGAGGTTAGGCGCAGAGTTCTGGGTAAACTGGGGAAATCAATCGACGAAGTCGTGAAGTTACAAAGACTGAGATGGTTAGGACATGTGTTACGTATTCCAAGTCATCGCCTCCCTCGACGAGCAATGTTAGCGGATATAGAGTCAGGCTGGAAAAAAGCTAGCGGCGGTCAAACAAAAACTTGGCACCAGTCAATGAAATCCACAACAGTTGGTCTAAGCCACGTAGGAAGGTGTAGACTTCCTGACTGGTTGGGGTCCTCGGGACGGTAAAAACAAATGGTTGGAAACAATTGGTGACATGGCTCAAAATCGTTCTCAATGGCTAGTTCAGATGCATCCACTCCCTGTGACTTATGATCTTCAATGAAACTGTGTAGTATTTCTTTATTACTCCTTTGTCTCACACCTCTGCTCACTGTTTCTATTATGCTTTTCTTGTACTTTCTTCTCTTGCTTCGCGTGCTACACGGAATGTGGCGACTTGAACTTCCGCACATTTGTGCAAAGCTCTATGTCGAAAACAGACAGACAGTTCGCTACCCAGTCTCTTCAAATTCATCCTTTAGATTTAACCTCCTCTTGTAATTAGTGCTGGTGAGGAGTTAAGTCAGACAAACACATAGCTCTTAGTCTCTTAAAGCTAAGCTGTCAATTTTAATCAAGTAGAGACTTTATTGTCTGAACCCTATGCCAAATCGGTCAAAAAGCCCAACCACTGGCATCAAGAGTGAATTTACGTTACAATCTGCCAGATACGCTTACAAGTTCTAAACGTTGTTATTCAATTTACCTCATTTGACCGATAGTGTCATTCTGAGGAACTTACCCTACGGATTTCAAGAGATTTTTCGGATAGTTTTTGTAGTCTTATCGATGTTGAGACAGTAATAAGACAGGAACTCACATTTCGAATAGATCCCTCTAGACAGTCTTTCGTGTGCTGCGTGAAAAAGTAAGTCCGTAAGGACAAGAAAAGATTATAATTCATTCGGTTCATAATGTTTGCTCATACAGCCACGAACCAGAGTTTAAAGAGGTAATAATGAATTTTTTTTAAAAAGCAAAATCCCCAGACGTAGTCACTTTAGTAACTAATTTCAATACTACAGTGGAGACTGAAATGTAAATTGAATAAGTCTTCCCAACGAATTCGAGAGTGAAAAACGTGTGGAGAATGAAAAAGACATCAACAATGAGCAACAATCGTCAACTAGTAAGGCTTATCAAAGAAACGAAGCCTAAAGAAGCTAAAATTGGTGAAATCATATCCACAAAGGTTAGACTCTTTCCAGAACAAAAGTCGGAATGTTGGATGGGACACTTTGAAGAGCAGTTCTACTGCCATATAACTGCCTAACATTCAACCGTAGCCTGTAGACATCAATCCTCCAACTTTGGGTGAGTGGAGGTGGGAAATATGGAGCAATCTCCAGCGAAGTACCTTTCAACACTGACTTATCTGTTCGTCAGCGGTATGTAAAATTTTAGGTAATATTAAAATTGGAGAGTAAAACTCATCTATGAATTAGACAGTAGCACAAGAGGAAGTACAAAATTAACTTTAAAAAAATAACTCGTACATAATAGCCTGAATAACGATGACTGTGATAACTTAAACTCCCAATTGGTACAAAAATAAAGTTATAATTTCATAATGTTAAATGCATACAGATTAATCGAATGGAATAATGATGTGTTTAACATACATCGACAACTGTAGCAAGTGCTTGATTTTCGTGTTCTAACTGACGAAAAAGCTCGCCAAGTTGAGTTCGTGGATCAGATGGACGACCAGGACAAAATACAGGGAATGTACTAGTTAGTGTTATATAATAAAGAAAGAATCAAAAAAAAAACATTTTCATACTAAGCATGTCAACAAACCAATATTATTAAGTGAGAAAAAAGAACAAGGTATTTAATATATGATACGAGGATTCGACGAAAATTCAAAAATAAACTTCTGTTAATTCGAGCCATTGAATTCCGTACTAGCGGCGAAATGGTCCACAAGCTCGTCTCGTAGCCTGAAGGTCGTTAGCTTAGCCACCAGTGGAGTTATGGCTGTGTATTGATGAAGAGTCTTAAACTGGGACGAAACAGACCTCAAGTACGTCCAGATTTTAAACGGTTCCCTAACTGCTTTCAGTCCATGATTAACACTGGAAACAAACCAAATTCCTACTAATTAACACTTGAATATCAAATGTAAACATTATTCATAACTAAAAAAAGTACAATTTGAATGCGATAAATACACTTCAAAAGAAAAACAAATTGACTGAATGAAAATACAGACAAAATACAGACTAAAGCTAAACATAATTAATCTACTGATTATATCATTCAACGACAACTAGACAGAATAATGACGCACCGTAATCGTATTTTGTTTTCAATTTGAATACAGAATATTTTACAATTCATTTTTAAGAAATGATTTAAGTCAACTTTATATGCTTCCATTAAACAGAGGAATACATCAATTGTTCAATTCTGATTTAATCTAGCATTTTAAAATCTCATAACACAGCATAAACAACTAAACAAAACATGAATTAATGTCACTGCATCATCAGGTAGATGCTTATTTTAGATTCTAGGCTACGAGATAGATTTGATGTCTATAAGGTGGATTTATAACAATGCCCAGTTGCTAGCACATTAATATCAATACACCTCATTTCACAGCTATACGCAGCAACCTTGATATTGGGGATAGTTTAGTGAATTTGACTAAGTGAAATGAATCATGATAAGTTGTTTGTGAATGGTCTGAAACATGATTACAGCATGAGTTATATGCTGAAACGTATCAGCATGGAAATATACCTTATAAAAGATGAAAAAATACATGTTATAAACCACTGGCTACTTTAACATCAATAAATACCTCTAGTTCCCACAACATCGATGTATATTAAGCGAAATTTGTGTTTTTTTTTAATTATTACATTTAAATAAGGGTAGAAATGAATTTAGGCTATGCAAAAATTATATGCTGAATCGATATTTTCACGGTTACTTTACAATATCACACTGACAAAAAGCACAATTCAATTCTCCTTAAGTTTGCTGAAGAAATCTCCATCAAACGCCTGGAACCTCATTTATGTGTTCAGAAAGAAGCGGTTATCAGTCTTCCCTTGCCCTGGTAACCGGATGTTTTCAGCCTCTCTTCTGTCTGATTACTTAACGCCGAAAATTTCTATTGTGTATGATTATTATTGTTCGGGATAAAGTGTTCATTATTATTATTTACATTGTTATTGTATGCATATATTGACTTATTGATTTTGTTTAAAAATGAACTCTGTGCAAGCATGTTAAAATTGTTTGTGTAGATAAACTTTATATTGTCTTTGGGCTGTAAGCAGTGGATGAGAAGCCAAAGAAATAAATGATGGCACCATTTAATTCTACACAAACGGTTGTTCTTGCTTTATTCAAAAACATTTACTTTTGGCTATCACCATCAATTGAGTTTGTTATACTAATAGGCTTTTTTGCAATAGTTTGACAAACTTCTGTTTTGTTTGTAAATAAGAAATGGAATCACCAAGCACAGTGGACATTTGATTTGGAAAATATTTGTGTATTTTTTAATTGGTTAACTTTAAACCACATTGTGTTTGTTTCCGTTTGAATAATTTAGGCTTGCAAATGACCTTTTTTTAACTTCATAGTTTAACTTAGACAAAATATTCTTTGATTACGAAAACTAAGCACTAGTGATTTCAAGTCTTCACCTGAAAACAAGTGAAATATGTCAGGGTAATTGGTTATTTTCATTATCGTATTGTTTAGAGGTTCATTAATGTTTGTTTCTATTTATTCCATGCACATAATAAAAATAGTTCAGTGAAGCTTTGAAGTGAAGAGATGAGTAAGACAAGGCCGAATATTATTACCAATAATATTCCTGATTGTGGTGGAATGATTCATGATTTGGATAGTGGGAAGCGAGAAGACATGCATACATCGTAGATCTGGACGTCGTGGACGACTTATGTCTAATGTCATATCGACAGAAGAGGCAACAAAAACAGAATTTTTAGTGAACATAGAGAAGATAAAGATGGTGAAGACACTTAACGAACGATAACAACAAGCATCAGTCACCATCAGTCCTAGGCTCAATAATCATGCGTAGACTGAGTGGTGCTCAGGAGGCACAAACACGAGAGAGCCAGGCAGGCTTTAGACCAGGAAGAGGGTGTATTGATCATATCTTCACCCTCCGACAGATTCTAGAACATAGGGATTCCTACCGGCGTCCAACAGTCATTATATTTCTTGACCTAAAGGCAGCATTCGACTCTGTCCATCGAGAAGTTCTCTGGAGATGCTTGGCTGTAAAGGGAATTCCGAGAAAATATATTGCACTGATTAAGGAACTCTACTCGTACTCATACAGCCAGGTGAGGGCTTACGGCGAGCTGTCATCTGAACTGATGACGACTAGTGGTGTCCGTCAAGGATGCCCATTATCCCCTTTTTTATTCAACTTCATCATAGATGTGTTAATGGACTTAACCCTAAGTGACTTCAGCGACTCAGGGATTGACTTGCTACCAGGGAATAATCTCGTTGACTTAGAATATGCAGACGATATAGTCCTCCTAGGCGACGACTCTGATAAAATGCAGAGTCTTCTAAACAGCTTGAGCTGCAATCTACAATTGTTTGGCATGCGATTCGCTCCCGCCAAATGCAAGATGATGTTACAGGACTGGACTACATCGACGCCTAGTTTAAAAATAGGAAGTGAAGTGGTAAAGCACGTTGACCGATTCACTTATTTGGGAAGTACCATCAGCCAGTGCCAATGGGTTGATCTCTGAAGAAATCTCAGCACGAATACAAGGGGCTCGTTTCGCATTTGTTAGTTTACGCCGACTTTGGCGTAGACGAGATGTTCGACTATCGACCAAAGGGCGGGTGTACTGCTCATCAGTCCGCTCCGTCCTCCTTTATGGTTGTGAGACCTGGCCACTGAGAGTGGAAGACGTGAAAAGACTAGCTGTCTTTGATCATAGGTGCCTGCGCTCTATTTCCCGTGTAAAGTGGTATAATAAGGTGAGCAACATTGAGGTTAGGCGCAGAGTTCTGGGTAAACTGGGGAAATCAATCGACGAAGTCGTGAAGTTACAAAGACTGAGATGGTTAGGACATGTGTTACGTATTCCAAGTCATCGCCTCCCTCGACGAGCAATGTTAGCGGATATAGAGTCAGGCTGGAAAAAAGCTAGCGGCGGTCAAACAAAAACATGGCACCAGTCAATGAAATCTACAACAGTTAGTCTAAGCCACGAAGGAAGGTGTAGACTTCCTGACTGGTTGGGGTCCTCGGGACGGTAAAAACAAATGGTTGGAAACAATTGGTGACATGGCTCAAAATCGTTCTCAATGGCTAGTGCAGATGCATCCACTCCTTGTGATTTATGATTTCCAATGAAACTGTTTTGTTCTTCGTTATTACTATTCCTTTGTCTCACACCTCTGCTCACTGTTTCTATTATGCTTTTCTTGTACTTTCTTCTCTTGCTTTGCGTGCTACATGGAGTGTGACGACTTGAACTGGTGCACATATGTGCAAAGTTCTATGTCGAAAACAGACAGACAGACAGACACCATCACCGGAAGAGGTCTAAAGGAAGTAATTTCTTTCGCTCATCTAGACAGCATTGTTTCAACTATAGGTGAAACAGATGAGGATGCGGTCGAAGCCAGGCGAAATTGAAAAAAGCAAGACAGATATTTATTACACTGAAATCAGTGTGGAAATCCACTGAGCTCAGCATAAGAGACAAGATCCGGATTTTTAACACTAATATCAAGTCAATTTTTCTATATAGTTCAGATATGTCGTGTGTCAACAAGAGCATTCCGTACACGCCTCAGACTTTTAACAACAGCTGTCTTGGCCAAAATAGTGTGAATATAATTTCAGTGTGCATTTAGTTTTTAGCATTGTATACCTTTATGATATCTAAACGATCACCGAATACGACCTATATTATTCGCAATGCACACAAGATAAAAAGGAGTCTGTTAGCTTTGTTCACTAAGTTCATAGAGTAAAAGCTTTTGTAACTTCATTAACCTCTGTCTGTTTCATGTCACAATACTAAGAGTTTAATTTAAGTCATTGAACACTTACATAAGAACTATATACACTAACTTTCCTCCAATCATGGACATAATCGATTACTAATTATTTATAGCAAGCTGTTAACATGAACATGTATTGCAGCTAAAACTAAAATAGTCAGAAATGACAGAAGTTATAATTCATTTACCCACTATTAGGTACCAACCTCGTAGATGAATGGAATAGGGACAAGATTTCTTACTTCAAAAGTACTGAGTTTCATCCGTGGAGGGGGGGGGTCATGGATCCGAACTGATGAAGTCCCAAAATAAGACAAAAAGGGTGTCAAATACTGGCTAGTTTTCAATGGTTATCTAACTAAAGTCAGTCTATGGTTGAATCCACCTTAGAGAATAAGAAAAACAGAAGAGAAGCACTTCGTTGACTGAATATGTTTGTAGTTGAAATAATACTACTTAAAGTAAAAAAAAAAAAATTCGGTTTCGATATTTACTGCGAAAGGAAAATACACTTAGTAGGGAAGCAGCCTTACACTCATTAGCAAAAACGCACTGGTGACGAATAGACTGGCCTAACCTATCTTACTGGTATTATTTTTATGCTATTTTACACACAGTATTGTTATATGAACAGTAGTTAGTTTCACCAATAATCCTGAAAAACCGTTTTCAAAATAAATGAATTCATGTCACACGTTGAAATACCCATTTAGCTAGTGGTACTCCATCTTACTATAACATTGGTTTTACCATCCAGCTGTGGATATCATGCATTGTTGAGGATGCACTACTTTTATCTTAGTCAAATTATTTTATTACTCATTACTTTAATCCCTTACTTCCCAAGCGGAACATAGGACTTCAAGCTTCAGCTTTGAAGTTTCGGTAGCATTGGATTCATTATTTTTACGGGATGAGGTTGCTAGCCTCACATCCAACTTTCTCCTCTTTACCGGATTTAATACCGAATCAATGAAGTTTAAGAAAGAGTGTCAGCTGGGAATCGAACCCCGTAACACGTGCGTGGTTGGCAAGCGTTCTACAGCTGAACTACTGACGCCTTAGCCAAATTACTGTGCCTTAAAAACCTTTTTACTACTCACATAGAAATTAACTATTGACTAGTTAAAGATACCAATTACAAAACTTCATCTTGTAGAAACTGAAGAGTATTAACAGAAGACTTACAAACCAATAAGGTTAGATCAAATGTATGTGTAAATAGACTGAGTCGTTTGATTCATTTGATACAGTTTACAATTATGAATCAGTTACTATCTAATAATATGCAACAGTAAAATAACAAGATTAAGCTGTATAAAACTTACTCAGCAACAGATATATTCGGGGAGTCAACATCAGTGCATTGATCACCAGAAGAATTTACATCATTTGTCTGAGGAGATGTAGTTTTAGCTAGAAAAGGCAAAAAGGTAGATAGAAAAGGCTAAGCTACTTTTAGGAGTAATAAAAAATTCTGTTAAAAGATACTTAAATGTACTTGTGGTGTGTTACTGACAAGATTTATCAGTAATACATAAAGAGACGGTCACCGACATAAAAATATCAAATAGCCGAGTGAGAGAATTGACATCAAAGACAGCAAGTGGTTCATCGTTGCTGCAAAACATGGGAGACACGAAAAAAAGACAAAAAACACAATACGAAGGGCATAAGTAGCACAACGCAGAAGGTCTGTGCGAATAACGGGTTTCAGATAAGGTGTTATGTAATTCCCTTATATAGATATATCAAATTCGAAATAAACATTCCCTTACCACGCCTCTTGTCTTCCACCGTTACATACTCAATCTATGTAACATACAATACAATGAGAATTGAACACCTTACGGCAATCGAAAGAGCTCATATGGTAATATGAAAAAAATGTTTTAGTGTTTGATATACTTAGTATACCAGGTTTTAAGTCACAATCTCTGTGTGACAGCTGACTATACTACACAGTCACCAAGGCTGAAGTAGGTGGAGTGAGATTTAAGCCAAGAAGGCACTGACTGAAAATGAAGTGCTAAAATTCCTGAATCATATCCACACAACAAACACTTGAGATTATGGGGAAATTTACATTGACACTTCATATGAACTCAACTGCAAAACAAAATGTACACTTATGATATGAACAAATTTCATCAGTTAGATTCTAAAAGATACACAAATTATTGCCTTTTCCTCAATGTTTTTTATTCAAGTAGTATGTAAGTACCAAACAAGTATGCTCGACAATGAATGATAGTTTTGTAATAAATTAATTTGTAAGGTTAAAGGATATTGCATCAAGGGGAGTCAAAATGTGGCCATGACCTTCAACCAACCAATCAAGAATAAAGTGGGCTAATTTTGGTAAAAACTGCATCTATTCCCAAAAAACGTTAATAGTTATAATATAAATACTAAGTGGGAAAACCTTCCGTTACATTGCTTGAAAATCGCTCCTAATAGTCATCAGAACGTCAATACTTGAACCTGTTTCTATACATGTATTTACATAAATGAATAAAGACGACATCACTATGTAACTCATTGGTGGCACACAATCTATTCTTTAGTCAACACCGGAAAGCTTCAATTGGATTTCTATGCGTGCCTGTTATAGGACTTAAACTGAAGCCTACAGGATCCAAATAGCCTTACTTACATGGCTCGCCAAAAATGCATAAACCCAATGTTTTCGTGAGACCAATACTATCTATGGTCGATTCTCCGTATCACAAAGTAGCTCAGTGGCTAGCAGAACTATTGGAGCCAATCCGTGCCAAGTTAACCGTCTATAGCTTGAAAGATACCTTTCAGTTCGCTAAACAATTCAGATATCTCAAATAAATTCATGGTGTCATTTGACGTATCTTCGCTGTTTACAAAGATCTCGCTAGCAGAAACGATACAAATTATATGTCAGTATACTAATCTGATTCCTCTGCCAAAGAATAAACTCAGACAACTGCTGCTAATATGTGCCAAGGACATACAGTTTCAATTTAACAATGTTCTGTACCGCCAAATTGATGGAGTAGCAATGGGAAGTCCGTTGAGTTCGATTCTGGCAGACATCTTTACGGGTAACCTGAGACAAACAAAAATGAAGGCCGCAATCGATATGACAGACTTCTATACCAGGTATGTTGATGACACGTTTGTCATTTGTGATTGTTTTAATGACGCATCTCAAATATTAGACGTAGTGAATAGCGCTCATTCTAATATAAAGTTTACAATAGAGTGTGAAGATGAGAACAAGTTTCATTTTTTGGGTCTTGATATCGAACGTGATAAAATTATGCGATACATCTATAGAAAGGAGACCTGAAGGGTGAGATAGCTGAACTTCAAAAGCTTCTGCCCTATAAGTTACAAAAAGGGATTAGTGAGAACACTGTTTGATCGTGTAAGGAAGATTTGTTCAGAAGAAAAAGTGGAGGAAGAGCTATCCATTGTGGAAAAATGCCTGCATGATAACGGTTACCCACAGAAGCTCATCGGCAAACATGGGAAACGTCATCTTGGCAAAGTGAAGCATAGCACAGTAGAGGAAAAACCCATCCTTCGACAGCTTGCTTTCAAAGGTGACGATGCTGGTAGTAGAATAAGATGTAGACTAAACGCTGCCCTTAAAAGCACGTATCCGAATGCCAAGCTTGCATGTGTTAATCAAACGACCTGTTGTTTAAGACAGTCAAAAGTGAACACACTCCCACCTTATGTTGCCTCCAACTGCGTCTACCAATTTACATGCACGCGCCAAAGCACATACATTGGAAGAACAGAGAGAAGAGTTATTGTCTGCATTACTGAACACATACCAAAGAACCTGAGATTACAGGGCCCACAAGCATTAAACAGTGCGATTGCACGCCATCTACTAGACACTGGCCATGTTGTGGACAACCTGAAGGTTTTCAAAATAACCAGCAGCAGCTTCGTTTTGTTGAGGCAATCGCCATTAAGCGGCTAAAACTAAATGTCCACAAAAAAAGACAAGTGAATCTTGCCTTGCCTTGGTGATAAAAAAGAGCAGAAATTTCACTACGTCATCTATCCAGTTTAGGAAACTTGAATTTTTCTCCTAAACATGACTCATCCTACCCCTCTCCCTTTGTTTTGTCTATTTTATAAAAACGTGATTTTCTGTGGTTAGTTAATGTATCACTTTTTATCCTCTTTCTAGTTAAAATTTGTTCATACCCACAAAAAATCTGTTGAACTCTGTCCTTTTGTTTCCAAGGTTAGCCATACAATTCTTCTGTAAATAGTCGATCCTTTTCACTCTTAATTATTCAACAACTTACATTATTCCTGACCAATGTTACTCTCAGTTCCAACCAATTACTCATTATCATTTTTTTAATGTTCACGTCTTTAATTTAATCTACAATTTTGGTATTGTTCAGGTTGTAACCAGTCGAGGAGAATCCACGAAATAATAAAAATAAAAACATGGGTTCAGATTATCGTGATACATTTGTCGTTCTTGTTGTATTCAAAAATGGAATTTAAATAACATTAACAATTACTAATTGGAACAGAAAATTACTGTAGATTTACTTTTTGACCAGAAAAATGCAGCTAGATTCTCAACATTAGAAAAAATGACTACGACTTCATTCTACGGATAGTTATAAAGTATTTCATGCGAAAAAGCATAATTGTGACGGAGCTCAATATCACGCGGTGACACCATGCTTAAACCAAGAAATTCATCAGCACACTTATGTCAATGACGAGTACGCAATCTGTACTCGTCAGAAAAAATCAACTTACGAGAATTTAATGTATGAGGAGATGTGCCTGATGGATCAGTGTGATTCCCGAATTCGGAAGTTGGAGGTAAAGTAGCAACCTAGAAATAAGCAAAAATGAACACAAATATTTTCACAATTTCAAATAGAAGTCAGATGAAGAAGTAGCGAGAACTGATGATGAAGCAGGTTTCGTGCATCTCCTTTTACGGATAAATTATAATTACATTCAAAAAGAATATCAGAACTGATTAGTTCACTCATGTTGTAAGAACCGAAAATTATGCAAAAGGAGACTGCATGAAACGATGTAACACTAGACTCAATGAAAAAAAAAGCCAAATATGAATCTGTTTTATCCAGTTTACACACTAAAACAGGTTTGATCACAATGAATAATGTTGACTAATTTTATACTTCGATAAGCCTTTTCATTAAACTAGCAATTAATTAATCTGTTGTTTTTGACATGTTTTATACATATATAAACGCAAAGAATGAAAAATGTATCATACAAGGCATCTTGAGAAATAAAAGAATAATGTAGTTATCTAACATATGTGAAAAACTTAGACACAGTGATAGTATGCAATTGGTTTTCTTTATGGGATATATCATACACTATTATTCATTTGGTGATGACACACACACACACAGTTTATTGTTCATGATGATGTCAAACAATGCAATGCCACAACTTTGAGATTCAGAGGGAGCTTCGTTCTGGCCAAGGACACAAGCATAGAATCAAGGTGCCTAATGAAGGTTTTATTTCATTATTGCAACTGTGTGTTGATCTATACGGTATTTCAGTTTTGAAGGAGAGTTATATTGGCTGTCACAAATCTTCAACTGTCATAACTTTGGAAGCGTTTAACCCTATCACAAAAGCCTAGTATGGTTATGTAAATAATACATTCACAGGGTTGATAAGGCAGAAAAATTCTGTCAGTATGTGATGAACGCCATCTAGGTGGCCTGCATAGCGTTGACTGTTTGCGAACCCTATGACTGGATGAAAAAGGAGGAGGTGATTAGCTTATGATGTAGTACCATAGAATGAAGTATAGTTGTGTTGGGTAAATATGTTTCAACACACAACGACTCCTTGTGTGTGGTCCGAAACTCGGTAGACTGACACATTACCAAATGTGGCTTACAGTCATAATTAATGGTGAACACGAAGCAGTCTCCTAGCTTCTTCTTCTTCTGATTCTAAAAGCAACTTGAATAAATAAACGTCTATTTTAATTTACTAAATAAGTATACTCGTCTGTCCCATTCTGCCATTTCCCAACCGCCTTATATGTCTTTTCATTATATTGTTATTCACTTGTTTTGTGTCACATTTGATGCCGAAAACTTACAATGTTTGTGTTTATATGAATAAAGAAACTATACGTGACAATACGCTTAGCTGATCTGTTTCCAAGACCATATTAAAGTCTTCACGCAACTTAAGAAAACACTATGCAGTCAGAAATAAAGCGAGTAGTCTACAGGTACTATTCCTTGTAGCTCACCACCACAAAGTTATGTCGGTATATTATGTAAAATAACCAAACTACGCAAAAAATTTATTGATTAGTAAAAAAACTGAGTAACTCCAAAGTATACGTAAATTAGTCGTAACTAGTCAAATATCAGTCACATTTTCAGTATTCACTCACCAATGGATTTTGTTCAGCTTTATCTGTATGGTATTCGGCAACAGCTCGAAGACGATCAACCCAATGCTGTCTTTCCTTAGCATCGACAGCTAAAAAGAATGAAGGTGCATGTAAATGTAGCCAAAAACATGATTACGAAAAGTTACATGCTCATACTCAGTGTTGAGAGATTCATCAATTTTAACCTCAGTGAAAGAACATAACAACCTCACACGGCAGGCTAATTAACTAAGGAGTTGTTGCTTTACATACTGAATCACATAGACATCACAAGCGATAAATTATATTTTCAAGTATTGTTTTTTGTAGGAATTTTGTTTGATCCAGTGGTTCAATGGTCTACGAGCTCGTCTTGTAACCAGAAGGTCCTGGGTTCGAACCCCGGCGGGTGCGTACTGCTGAAGAGTCCCAAACTAGGACGAAACACCTGTCCAGTACCCCCAGGTTTTCCGGTGGTTCTCTAACTGATGTCAGCTCATGATGAAATCCTCTATACAATCAAATAAATTATATTGTTCACTAGTTAGTAAACATATATTTATCCAGACTGCTGTTAAATGATTTATAAGCATGGGCAAAACTAAACGTCTGTAAGATAAAAAACAGTTTCTACCCACTGGTTTTTAACATTCGAAAGTTATCAACAAGGCAATCTACGCTTCTCTACGTGGTTCGAACGACTGTATAGGTTGATACTATGTTTTTACCTGATCATATCTGACTCCTTCCCAGCCTAATCTCACTTTGGTTGATACCGCTCGTTGAAGAACTCCGTGGCTTATGATGCATAGCACATCTCTTGGCAATCTTAAACTACAGAGCTTCACAATTTTATCGACTGACTTTCCCTCCTTAAGGGATTTATTTATTAGTGGTCGTGTTTATGATAAAATATTCACAAACGGTGTGTGTGTGTGTGTGAAAAATTTTCGCGCGCGCCTTTCGATTACTGCGTTACATTTTCCTTATTAATAAAAACTCTCGTTTCCGTAAAATTTTATGCCAAGAGTTTGTGGAAACTATCACAATTATTTACCTTTCGAACACTGAATCCAAGAATACAATCTTATTGACAGATAATACATATAACTAACTATTTGGATTTGTGGAATTTTTAAACATAAACACATCTATAATTGTATATATTGTTGGATTTATATGTTCAAGTTGCTCCAAGTCAGTGAGTTTATGGTTGAGATATCATTTTAGTTAACTGTGCTGAACTATATTGCATGTTGTTGTATTGTATAGTTGTTGTCGCTTTTTGCCCTTTTTTCTGTGAACTGTTTCCTTTGTTGATGTTGTTCTCATTGTTTGTCCGTTATTTTCTGATTTTGAGGGGAGCAACCCAAAAAGTCGCTTCTCTCTAAACTTTAACTTAATGTAATCATTCCTTTCTCAGGCGTGAGGCTAGCAACCCCACCCTGTAAACAAAATTGCTACAGAAACTTCAGTACGATGAACCTCTTTGCACCAAAAGAAAAAGTCTGTGTGGGAACATGGAACGTCCGAACTATGTACGAGACTGGGAAAGCTGCCCAGATCGCCAACGAGATGAAAAGATACGGAATACAAGTGCTGGGAATATGTGAAAGCAGATGGAATGGGAGTGGACTCACCAAATTGTCAACGGGTGAGTCAGTGATCTACTCCGGTCACCCAGAAGATAACCACACGCACACCGAGGGCGTGGCTATCATGATGTCACCAACGGCAACGAAAGCCCTGATACAATGGGAGGCGATTTCGTCCAGGATAATGACCGCCAGATTCAACTCCAAAGGAAGGAAAGTGTCAATCATACAATGTTATGCACCCACAAACAACGCAGACCTCGAAAAGAAAGAAGAATTCTACAGGCAACTACAGGCAACAATGGACAATACTCCAGCTGGCGACATGAAAATACTAATGGGAGACATGAACGCCAAACTGGGACCAGACAATACAGGAAGGGAACTCATCATGGGTAGAGAAGCTCTAGGAGAAATGAATGAAAACGGAGAACTCTTCGCCGACTTCTGCGCCTTCAACGAACTGGTGATTGGTGGCAGTGTATACAAGCACAAAGATATCCACAAGGCTACATGGGTGTCACCAGACGGGCAAACCAAAAACCAAATCGACTTCATCTCAATCTCAAGGAAGTGGAGGCGCAGCCTACTGGACACAAAAGCAAGAAGAGGAGCAGACGTTGGCTCAGACCACTATCTCGTACAAGGGACAATCCAAATCAAATTAAAAGCTTTCAGGGAATCAGGAGCTGCAGATAGACCACAAGCCAAGTTCAACACTCAAAAGCTGAAGGACCAGGCTACAAAGGACATCTTCATTGCAAGCATAAAGGACAAAGCCGAGACACAAATCAACACCAGCGAAAAGGTCAGCGTCGAAAAGCACTGGAACAACTTGAAAACGGTGTGGAGCCAAACCTGCATAGAAATTCTAGGCAGAAAAAAGAGACAGGACAAACAGTGGCTCACTACGGACACTTGGAAACTAATAGAAGAGAGAAGGACAGTGAAACAAAAGATTATCCAGTGCACTGACGAGCAACAAAAACAGGAGCTGAATGCAAGCTACAATACACTGAACAAAAGAGTGAAGAAGAGTGCCAGGGAAGACAAAAGAAAATATTATGAAACCATGGCAAACGAAGCAGAACAAGCTGCAGGCAAAGGAGACCTCGCCACACTCTACCAAACAACTAGGAACCTTTCGGGCAAACGTTCGACACAGATTAAGCCAATAAAGGACGACAATGGAAAGTCAATCACCAAAGAGGTGGAACAGAGAAAGCACTGGGTTGAACACTTCAAAAGACTTCTAAATCGTCCGCCACCTACAACACGCCCAACAATACCAACAACGGAAGCAGAACTACCAGTGAACACTGACCCCCCGACGAAATCAGAAGTCCTGAATGCAATCAAGATGCTAAAAGCTGGGAAAACACCGGGACCAGATGGAATCCCAGCAGAAGCTTTGAAAATAGACCCAGAGACAACAGCGGACTTGATGACACCACTGCTGGAGAAGGTGTGGAAAGAGGGCAAAGTACCCGAGGATTGGAAGAACGGTTACTTATTCAAACTTCCAAAGAAAGGAGACTTAAGTCAATGTAAAAACTGGCGTGGAATTATGCTTCTGTCCATTCCAAGCAAGATACTAAGTCGCATCATCCTGGAGAGAATCAAACAAGCCCTAGATGAAAAACTTCGTCCGGAACAGGCTGGATTCAGGAGAAACAAATCATGTATTGATCAAATCGCCACTCTACGGATCATCATTGAACAAAGCTTGGAATGGCAGTCACCTCTCTATCTCAACTTCATCGACTTTGAAAAGGCCTTCGACAGCGTCGATCGAGAGGTCATTTGGAAACTACTTCGCTACTACGGGGTCCCATCGACAATTATACATCTCATCCAACAGTTATACGACAATGCTGCATGCCAAGTAATCCACAACGGGAAACTTACGGAAGCCTTCGAAGTGAGGACGGGAGTGAGGCAAGGCTGTCTACTATCACCAATGATCTTCCTGATTGCAATTGATTGGATAATGCGACAGACAACGGCAACCAACGAGGGAACAGGCATAAAATGGACTGACACAAAAGACTTGGAGGATCTGGATTTCGCCGATGATATATGTCTGATTTCCCATAAACTGGAAGATATGCAAGTGAAAAGTAACAAGTTGGCAGAAGAAGCATCAAAGATAGGACTTCACGTGAACATAGATAAAACAGAGGTGATGAAGATTCCTAGCCAACATCAACAACAACAACAGACAACAATCAGCATAAATGGGAAGAACCTGAAAGAAACAACCTCCTTCACCTACCTGGGAAGCATCGTCTCAACTACAGGCGGAACTGACGAGGACATCAAAGCCAGAATCGGAAAAGCAAGACAAGCTTTCATTACTCTCAAATCTGTGTGGAGGTCAACAGCACTCAGCATCAAAAATAAGATCCGGATTTTCAACTCCAATGTGAAGTCAGTGCTACTATACGGATCAGAGACTTGGCGAGTCATAAAGAGCATCTCAAACAAACTTCAAACCTTCATTAACAGCTGTCTTCGCTCAATACTCAAGATCAGATGGCCAGAAAAGATCAGCAACAGGGATCTCTGGGAGCGAACCAATCAGGAACCGATTGTGAAACAAATAGGCAGGAAGAAATGGAGATGGATTGGCCATACGCTGAGGAAACCATCAAGTGACATCACTAGACAAGCCCTCGAGTGGAACCCGAAAGGGAGGCGGCGAGTTGGTCGTCCAAGGGTGACTTGGAGGAGGTCATGCGAGGAGGAGATGAAAGCATGTGGACAGACCTGGAGCAGGGTGAAAAAGTTGTCAGAAAACCGAAGGCAATGGAGGTGCGCAGCTGAAGCCCTATGTTCCTCTAGGAACTAAAGGATACAATAATAATAATAATAACTGATACTGTATTTAATCTTAATACTACTGATTATATCGCTAAACCTTACAAGAAATTTAACGGAGATATCTATGAATAAAAATGGCTTTTACATATTTTTCACGTTCCACAGCCATATCCCACTGCCGTATAGAAGGCCAGAACTAACTGTTGCCCAGTATGCATGCGTCTCGACGAATAAATAAATATAAATATAAATATCTTTCCAATCTGAAGTCTCGTCTGGCTACTCATGATACCACAATAAATGAGCTAAATATTGTTTGCTGGCTCAAATTCATGAACTTCGTCAAAGAATTACAGTCCAAGACTGCAAAAGAATATGAAAATCAACTGACAAAAGCATTAGTCAAGGAAAAGTTAACTGAAGATTTCCCAGAAGCACCTGAACGCTACGTTTGTAATCTGTCAAATTTACAATTAAGCAAAATTGAATTACAAGCCTTATCTTTGGGATTCAAGTTTCACGTCTCTAAAAGGCACATAAACCGTATAGATACAGAAGCACAGTTTGAATACCTATACTATCAACTTTCTGACCTGCAACCTGTGGATGAAGACAAAAGAGGATGGCTAAAGTCAAAACTGGTTGATATAGCCAACCAGTATCACACATCACCGTCCGGAAAACAAAATATGCTTACTGAGGGGCATAGAGCGGCACTAAAGAGACTATGTGAAAATGATGATATCGTCATGTTTAGACCCGACAAAGGCTCTGGAATTGTTATAATGAATAAAACTGATTACGTACATAAAATGTTGACAATTCCTAACGACTCCGGAAAATTCCAAGTGGACAAAACCAAGAAGGATGCAACAACGTCATTCGAAAATAAAGTAAATGAATGCCTCAAAGAACTACTCATCAAGAAACTGATTGACAACAAAACCTACAATGAACTCAAATCAAAGGATGGACGACTCCCATTTATGTACGGTCCAGCAAAAATCCATAAGGCCAATGTGCCCTTAAGGCCGATATTATCAATGATAAACTCACCATGCCACAAACTAGCCCGATGGCTAGCTGATTCATTGAAGCCAATTCGAAAAAAATTTTCAAGTCATAGCTTGGATGACACCTTCCAATTTTCTAAAGAAGTCGATTACGTTGACATATCAGATAAACTGATGGTGTCATACGACGTGACTGCCTTATTCTTAAATGTACTAGTGATGAAAACAATAGATATCATTTGTATGCAAAGAGATCTATTGTCACTACCGGAGTCAGAGATGAAACGGTTACTAATTCTTTGCACAAAAGACATCCAATTTAGATTCAATAACCAATTCTACCGACAAATTGACGGGGTCGCCATGGGTTCACCCCTAGGACCCATTCTAACAGACATCTTCATGGGCTATCTCGAACAGACAAGACTGAGTGACGGTATCAGTGGAACAACATACTACCGTCGATACGTCGATGATACTTTTGTTTTTTGTAACGACATGAGTCATGCATCTGTAATATTTGACCGCCTAAATGAGGTCCACCCAAACATTAAATTCACCCTGGAATACGAACACAACGATGAGTTTAATTTCCTGGACCTAAATGTAAAAAGAAGAAACGATGGAACGGTCGAAAAGTCCATCTACAGGAAAGAAACTTGGACCGGACAATACCTTCATTATAACAGCTTCTGCCATATGAGCTACAAGCGGGGATTAGTGAGGACACTATACGACAGGGCCAGGAAGTTATGTTCGCCTAACAAGCTAGAAGAAGAATTAAGCTTTATCGAAAAATGCCTTAAGGAAAACGGGTATCCAAAAGGATTTATCCTAAAGTACAGCAAAGAAAAAGATAAGAAAGAGAAATCTCCAACAGTTGAGAAGAAGAAAGTGTTCATTTGCCCCCATACAAAGGAGAAACCGTATCGCAAAGATTGAAAAGAGGATGAAGGGAGCAATAAAGAGATGCTTCCCTGCAGCCAATTTGGTGACATTATACAGTACTACATGCTCTATAAGGCAATCAAAACTGGATAAGTACCCTGCTGATGTTACCTCCAACTGCATTTATAAATTTACGTGTACCTGCGGCAGCAAGTACATTGGAAGGACAGAAAGAAGGGCTTCTATCCGTTTTCAGAGCATATTCCAAGAAACTTATGCCTAAAAGGAAGCAGATATTTACAAAGTGCAATTACCAGACACCTACCCTGTAGATACGGGTCATTTTGTCGAGATTTCTAAATCCTTCAAAATATTAAACATACAAAGGACAGTGAATCTACTACGATTTGCTGAAGCAATTACAGCAATCAAACGTCACAGACCAAACTTATATACAGAAAGAGAGTGTGTGTGTAGTCAATCTCTCACTCCCTTGGTAACCATATCACTTTCATTACACTGATTAGTCATACACACTAGTGAGCTCAACTCACTAGGCAAGTTTTCAGATTGATGAACCTTGACCTTCTTGAGTTGCTATGTTGACACTGTTTATTAGATTTTTCTGTTTTCTGTCTTCTCTCACCCCCCCTCTTTTTTCTTCTTCTTCCATAGTTTGACAGTATATAAATTGATGGTGACTTAGATGCGTTCACCTTATAATGTTTTCTCTATTACCTTTCAAACAATGAAGTATGAAATGTTATTATTTATAACCATTGTAATTTCAGGTAGTTTGCAGCTGATGAGAACCTGTGAAATAGAATGATATCATTTTATACTGCAAATCTGGTCTTTCTTTCTCTATCAGAATTTATCAAGGGAACCAAATGTATGAAACAATTGATATCATTGACAAATAGCACTGGTTGACTCCACTTCAAATGACAATTCTCTATAAGCTCTTGCACGAGTGTATTAGTTTGAATAGTGCTTTGATTGGTAAAGTATACTTCCGCGGTACTCCACCAATAGCTACAGGTTACCAACAGCCTTCAACACTGTTTCAACAGTAGAGTAAGTATGATGACAGACTCCCTTTGGATGAATATTGTTGATAAATTATGATTTGCTCAGTTATCCCCTTTGTAAATACAATTTCTTTTGCAAATCCAGATATGTAGGAGATTTGCAGTACCATGAATACATTTGCACAGGCTGAAGCATGAATAGACTAAAAGCAGGTATTACACAAGGCGCCACCCTCTCTATCGACGAGTTATGGATAGATGACCTATTTTTTCCATCGCTGATTTGATTTCAGTGGTTGCGAAGTGAGGCAATGTCTGTCAACATGTTTGAAACCAGCACTAACTAAGGATGGATGATTATCTGAAAAGAGATGTAGGGAACAATCACTGTTATCTGTTCGTCGGTATGCGACTCCATAGATAACTCCAATTTAATTTTCGGGCTGGCGCATCTACTCGAACATTGAAATCATCTGAGCTTTATGTATTTAGCGGTAAACTTGACTGTTTTTGATGAAACTTATCCTTCACTTTGTCCGAAATGTGTTTAGTTGGCGTGTAAGAGGAACTTAGGGAAGGGTATCACTATCTTCCCATATTCCTACGAATCTATTCACTAAAATAGCATACAGACGACTGTCCACTAAGAATCCAATCAAGTAACCAAAGAAGGAAGGCATGATAGTTGACCTTATAGTCAAGCCAAAGAAACAACTTACTACTGTTTCACCTCCATCATCTAACGTAATGTAAGCAACTTGCACTATTATGAGAACTGCTTTCAGTCCAACCGCTATCCAACCGATATTTTTGGCATGATAAAACATTCCATATCAATTTGATTGATATGATTGTGAGCTCGAAACGTCATCCAGTTATAATGCTGCATCCCTGTTGATATTTGAAATAAACCTGTCTAATACGGGATAACATTCTACCACAGTCCCCAAGTTCTAAACTTACATTAATGGCAAGACATTCAAAAATAGTTGCACTATCTATTATAGCTCGTTATGTCATTGCGGTATGCAATCGCGACCACCAAGTCAGTGTACCAGCTATCAGTAGCATTCATTTGAGTTAAATTACACCGAAAAAATATGGTGCAGCAACCTCATGTAAAGCTATCGCCCACCTGAGAATGTACGCAAAGCAGTTAGAATCATGCATGTACAACACCTGATGCATACTAAGAGTTTCACTGTCACCATATTGCAAAAGTTGAAAATAACTAGTTCCCGAATCTTTAAGAAAAAGCATGTGAAAATGTAAAGATGATAAAATGATAAAGCTTACAACACGAACCTTTCAATTTCAGCAAGTCTCCGTTAGCAGCATTAATAATAAATGTTTGTGAATCTTCATCTGATGGACATACAGAAGCATACTGTAAAGCATTTAAAAAAAGGGGTAGTTGGTCTTTAAACAACAAGAATAAATGCATAAAACGTTTTCAACTGTCTTTTTAACTATTAGTGACAAAGGAATGTTACATCATAGTACAGATTCAATGACTAGCACAATAAAGACCGTTGACTGTTAAAACTAACTGAACATGACTAACGATACTAAACAAATGACATTATCCGGCTGAAATTTGAAACATTCTCAACTGCGAATTTCGTAAGCTTTTATATTAGATCAACAAACTGATATCAGTTAGACACCCACTCAAAACCAAGGAGCCATGAACAGTTTTCTCGCCCTGTTTTGAGACACTTCAATGACATGCACCTATCACCCCACCAGAGATCTGTCTGTCTGTCTGTCTGTTTGTTTTCGACATAGAACTTTGCACATATGTGCACCAGTTCAAGTCGCCACACTCCGTGTAGCACGCGAAGCAAGAGAAGAAAGTACAAGAAAATCATAATAGAGACAGTGAGCAGAGGTGTGAGACAAAGGAATAGTAATAACGAAGAACAAAACAGTTTCATTGGAAATCATAAATCACAAGGAGTGGATGCATCTGCACTAGCCATTGAAAACGATTTTGAGCCATGTCACCAATTGTTTCCAACCATTTGTTTTTACCGTCCCGAGGACCCCAACCAGTCAGGAAGTCTACACCTTCCTACGTGGCTTAGACTAACTGTTGTAGATTTCATTGACTGGTGCCATGTTTTTGTTTGACCGCCGCTAGCTTTTTTCCAGCCTGACTCTATATCCGCTAAAATTGCTCGTCGAGGGAGGCGATGACTTGGAATACGTAACACATGTCCTAACCATCTCAGTCTTTGTAACTTCACGACTTCGTCGATTGATTTCCCCAGTTTACCTAGAACTCGACGCCTAACCTCAATGTTGCTCACCTTATTATGCCACTTTACACGGGAAATAGAGCGCAGGCACCTATGATCAAAGACAGCTAGTCTTTTCATGTCTTCCACTCTCAGTGGCCAGGTCTCACAACCATAAAGGAGGACGGAGCGGACTGATGAGCAGTACACCCGCCCTTTGGTCGATAGTCGGATATCTCGTCTACGCCAGAGATGGCGTAAACTGGCAAATGCGAAACGAGCCCCGTGTATTCGTGCTGAGATTTCGTCAGAGATCAACCCGTTGGCACTGGCTGATGGTACTTCCCAAATAAGTGAATCGGTCAACGTGCTCTACCACTTCACTTCCTATTTTTAAACTAGGCGTCGATGTAGTCCAGTCCTGTAACATCATCTTGCATTTGGCGGGAGCGAATCGCATGCCAAACAATTGTAGATTGCAGCTCAAGCTGTTTAGAAGACTCTGCATTTTATCAGAGTCGTCGCCTAGGAGGACTATATCGTCTGCATATTCTAAGTCAACGAGATTATTCCCTGGTAGCAAGTCAATCCCTGAGTCGCTGAAGTCACTTAGGGTTAAGTCCATTAACACATCTATGATGAAGTTGAATAAAAAAGGGGATAATGGGCATCCTTGACGGACACCACTAGTCGTCATCAGTTCAGATGACAGCTCGCCGTAAGCCCTCACCTGGCTGTATGAGTACGAGTAGAGTGCCTTAATCAGTGCAATATATTTTCTCGGAATTCCCTTTACAGCCAAGCATCTCCAGAGAACTTCTCGATGGACAGAGTCGAATGCTGCCTTTAGGTCAAGAAATATAATGACTGTTGGACGCCGGTAGGAATCCCTATGTTCTATAATCTGTCGGAGGGTGAAGATATGATCAATACACCCTCTTCCTGGTCTAAAGCCTGCCTGGCTCTCTCGTGTTTGTGCTTCCCGAGCACCACTCAGTCTACGCGTGATTATTGAGCCTAAGACTTTAGATACTATATTAGTCAAGCTAATCCCTCTGTGATTATCACAGGAAGACTTGTCTCCCATCTTGTATATGGGGATAATCAGTGACTTACACCAACCCGATGGGACTTCTGATTCCCAGACGCTGCCTGGTACCTCAGTTAATGCAGACAGTAAACTTCTCCACCGTACTTAAATACCTCTGGAGTGATTCCATCAGGTCCTGCTGCTTTGCCTAGTTTCAGATTGGTGACAGCTTTAGTAACCTCAGTTAGGGATGGAGGACCTGTGTCTATATCCCATTCAGGGAGGTGTTGGATGTTCGGAAGGTTGAGCGTGTCTGTGGGCCAATTAAACTGCTCCTCATAATGCTCTTTCCAACGATCCAGTCGTCTATCCTGGGAGCTAATTATAGTGACATTTTTTCCGAGATGGTTTCACTAATGATTTGTCTTCTCCCACCCGATTCCCTGATGAGTCTAAATAGTTGCCTGGTGTTGCCTATCCTCGAAGCTTTCTCCATCTCTTTCGCTTTTGTCACCCACCACTGTTCACGGTCCTTGCGGAGACTTTCCGTAAGTTTCCTTTTGTGAAGCTTTCGCTCCTCATTGAATTCGGAGCTCGCCGGAATAAGTCTTCTAGCATCTATCAGTTCGGATGAGGCGGTGGAGATCCAGTGGTTTTTACTCACCTTTGGGTTCAACTTATTCACAGCTTTTACAGCTGTATCTATGGCTGCCTGGATATTTTTCCAAGCTTCTTCGGTGTGAGCACAGCTGTCGAACACAGATATGTGTTTAGCTAGTTCTTCCTCAAATACGGATTTAGTTTCCTTATCGAGCTGGGGATGTGATGGTTTTACCGCCAGCTGTTTCCTACGTCTGTTCAGTCGTAAGCACACCCGAGCGCGGACCAGTGCGTGGTCGGTATCTACACACGTGTTCCAAAAGGAGCGACAATCTCCTACCGACCCATGCCAACGATAGCTTATTGCTATGTGGTCTATTTGTGTCCAGCGTTGGTTTGATGAAGGGGGTCTCCAAGTCAAACAGTGTCTCTCCTTGTGTTTGAAGTTAGCGCTTACAAGAAACAAATGATTATCTGAGATTAAAACCAGGCCATTCAGGTTCCAAGGCGAACCCATAGACCATTCAGCCAATAGGATGAAATCGATAACCAGCATTAACCTACTGTCAATTTGCAATATGTAGCGCCACGGCCAGACAATATTATCGGCGAGTAGTTAACCTAACATCCGAATTCGGTGGAGCCTACTGGACAGAACTCCTCCCCAGAACTTCAGAAAACTGCAATGATCCACATAATTCAAGAATCCGGATCTTCTCCCCTATCCCAAAACCAGGGATTCAAACACCTTTCACTAATATTCCCCAATGATATTCAATTCCAATTTTATAAAAAGCATTCAAGGATCGATTCACCGAAAGAGTAAGCGTTGTGGAATTTATATAAGTCAAAACGGCTTTTTCCCGGTAACCACAAACGAGTACTAGTTAAAAAAACACTTTACAGAGTAAGAATAATGTTTCAGTAGTAAATGAATGGAGGAACTGAAATTAAGTGAAAAAATGTAAAAAGGACAAATATTCACTGGTGATTTGAGTAGCTTTCATAGGTAAAACCAGTACAACTAATCGAGTCACTTTATTTTCATAAATGGGAACAGACTATATATGCTAGTTACTACCTAGGATATATATTGGAAAGCAGTTTCCAAACTGTAGTATACTTTTTGGAAAACCAATAAATTAGAAAAATAACATGTTATATGTACCTGTTATCAAAACAGCTTGACGAATGACATAAATGTAGTATGATACGCTCTTAACACACACACACACACACACACACACACACACTGTTTGCTACAAAAAAACGTTGTATAAAGTAGCATAAAACGTCTACTTGTATTACGGTCTTGAGTATCACATTCTTCTAAAGCTCATATTTCAAAATTGCAAAGCTTCTGTAGAAATAAAACCACACACACACACAATAAACATTTCTCTTATGTGATCTACGATTTTTCATCACCACGTGTCTTATTACCTATCAAATTAGGCTTTCTTTTCGAAATTATATTTAAAAGTCGCTCGTATAATTGCGAACGCCAAAAGTTTAATTCTGACCAAATTCCTGTGTTCAGAATAATGATGACCAGACTTATAACAGCCACATTTGTTATCTGTCCGAAGGTAATTACTGCAGTATAAAAATAATAAATAAGAAAACAAGGGGTGATGTGTCAACTAAGTGAACTACGCCATATTTCTTCCAACTACCTAGGCAGTATCAATTGAACCATAGGCCACACAAATGAATATGCCAAAGGCATGATCGGAAAACCAACATAGACCTTCATTACTCTGAAATCGGTGTGGAGATCTACAACACTTAGCACAGCTAGCAAGATCCGAATGTGCAACACTAATGTTAAGTCAGTCAGTACTTCTATATGGTTCAGAGTCTTGGCGCGCACTTCACGAAATGCATTTTCAACAACCACCTGCAGACTTTCAACGACAGCCGCCTTCACTGAATACTGAAGATCAGATGGCCAGAAAGGATAGGTAGCAAAGAACTCTGAGAACGAACCAACAAAGGATCTTTAGGTCAACAAATATGCAAGAGAGAATAGAGATGAATTGGAAATAGGCTGAAGAGACCATTGGGTGACATAGTGTGTCATGCTCTCAAGTGGATTCTGAATGGAAAACGAGTTGGGAGTAGCTCCGAGAGTGGCATGAAAGAGATTATATGGGGAAATAAAAGCTTATGGGTAGTCGTGTAGCCAGCTAAAAAAAACTGCAGAGAACAAAATGAAATGGAAATGGGCTGCTGAAGTCTTGTTGTCCCACTGGGGAGTAAAGGCAATAATAATAACAAACTACCTCACAGTCCCTATCAATAACAGGAACTTTGCAACTTGAAGTCAGTGGCTAGAATTCCATTGCAACCGATCCCTATTTTTAAAAACCCCCTTATATGAGCAGTTTATAAGTGTTTGAAAACTCAACAGTAAAACTTGATCACCAACCAATTGATATAGGAAGAGTAGAAAAACTTAGGATTTACAAAAAAATAAACCAATGAGTCTTACCAAGTTACAAAATCTCTCACCACAGTGAAATAGATATTACAAGTGATCAGTGCAATCACAGAATACACAATACATCACGACTCACCATAAGATTTAGTGTTCCACGAGGTTTAAGGGATCGTTTATGGTCTTCTTTCTACAGCAAGACAAAGAAAAGGTGGAGGTATATGTGTAGCTCTTAGTGTTCATGTGCATACATACATGGGTGAAACTATTCAACTGCTAATGTCAGTATTACAGCAGCAACACATTTAAAATATTGTCAGAATAAAAAATAACAAACAAAATTACAGGATATTAGAGATAATATAGCATAGCTAAACTGATTTTATGATAACAGCACATCAGTACACCATGTGAAAAATCATTTGTGCAGCATGCTGATTGTCTTAGTTACCCGAAACAAATTTTCCATTTACGATTATTATTCCCTTGGGTTCCTAATGAAATACAAGGCTTCCACTCGAGCGCCTGGCCTTCACCAAAACTCAACGGCCTCCTCACCGGATATCTAATTCATCTCTATTCTCTCTTGCATATTTGTTGACCTAAAGATCCTTTGTTGGTTCGTTCTCAGAGTTCTTTGCTACCTATCCTTTCTGGCCATCTGATCTTCAGTATTCAGTGAAGGCGGCTGTCGTTGAAAGTCTGCAGGTGGTTGTTGAAAATGCATTTCGTGAAGTGCGCGCCAAGACTCTGAACCATATAGAAGTACTGACTGACTTAACATTAGTGTTGCACATTCGGATCTTGCTAGCTGTGCTAAGTGTTGTAGATCTCCACACCGATTTCAGAGTAATGAAGGTCTATGTTGGTTTTCCGATCATGCCTTTGGCATATTCATTTGTGTGGCCTATGGTTCAATTGATACTGCCTAGGTAGTTGGAAGAAATATGACGTTAGTAAACAGGGACGTGGTGCACACTCTGATATTCAACAGTCATAAAGAAACATTCTGATTTGTTTTTGATTACTGTAAATATCTGGTGGAGAAATTATTCGTTTTTATTTATGCGTAACTAAACAAATTATTTCAACCCGTAAATGGGATGATTCACTAACCTCGTAATATTCTATCCTTCCTACATCTGGATCGATCACAAACCAACGATACTGATAACCCTTGACAACATTCGTGAATTTTAACAGTTGACCTTCAATTCGTTTACTGTAAGTCAAATGAGTATAACAAAAAAAACTTTAACAGTCATAACGCATTAATAACAAATAGGTATGAAAATAACGTCATTCTTGAGTGAATTTAATGACTATATAATTTGCACACAAAACAATGAATATTGAAGTTATCGCAGAACACTAGACAGATATGTCTATATACAATGTCTATTATCACTTCTAAAAATACAAATCATAAACGGGCGAATATTGCGTAGTTTCGAGTACTAAACTTTAAGCTACTGTGTAAGAATTTAGCGGTCATTTCTTGCTAATCGGTTCAGAAAATGACTGGTTGTATTCAGTGGCTCCACGAATAAACTCTTGAACTCTTGAGATAAAATTCCACAAATAGTAGGTAAGAATTGTAGTGTGGCGTGTGCTACTGACAAGGTTCCTTCAGTAGTACTTTTTCTTATTATAGCTTGATTTCACACCGCATTTTCGCTGCAAGTATGGAATTTTCACCATGTGATATCTGTAGCCCAAATTTTGCAGGCCGACCAATTGATATCAGGTGTGCGTCGGTAGGGGATCGACCACCGGACCACTTGCATGGTCGGCGAGAGTCCTGACCGCTATGCCACCGACGCACAGTGGGAACAATCCATTAAGTTACGAAGGAGAGAAATGAAAGATCCTTGCGAAACAGTATTCAAAACATTATAGGAAGATAAAAGAAACCCAATCACAAAGAACGTGTACAAACGGAAATTCCAAGGTAAGATTTCCACATTTCGGCATAACTGTACGACACTTTACATTGATTGATCACTAGGGAGTAACCAATGTCCTCCGTCTAGTCTTTGACATTAGTGTGGACTGAATTATATCAGTAAAGTTTTCATTAAAGTCACCAGGTTAAGTAGTTTGTCATAGCAGTGCACTTTGGACTGATGTTAGATGGCTGTAGAAAACAAACAGAGAGCCTTGTCCGTGGGGTGTATCTGCAACCTCCAGAGAACTGATGTCCCCTCTGAGATTGGAATCCTCGTCACCCAATACTGTAGTCAGAGATGTTACTACTGCTGAGGTAATCGGGCTCACGATTAACTTGCAGTACTGTACTGGATATACTGGTTGTGCATCATTTTGCCGAATAAATGATTCTACTACGAAATACTACAGCGATCTGTCCTTACAATAGTTATCTGGATTAAGTAATGTGCGATAAGATCTATACGAAAACACTCAGAAATCACTAATATGAACGAACCTCGTAGTAATACGCATAATTTAATGCCAGCATACTGCATAGACCCAAATGAGCTCAAAAATGTTTAACTGAAGTTATTAGGGCATTCGGTATTTGCAAACAGTCTTTTAAAAAACTTGTTTCCGCAAATATTTTATTTGCTGATTTATAACAGAATTCTAATACTGGTGTTTCCATTCCCAAGTGAGCATATTTGAGCTTAGCTATAATTGTTTTACTCAGTGAAAAATATGCAGCTACGCGACTGCCTACAACAAAATGCCCACTTATTCTATTCTCGACACTTATTTCACTTAGAATTATGATGTCATATGTAAAGAAGTAAACGACTTGAAAGTAACAATCTGATTAACAAATTATCGATCGAAGGACCCGTCACTTCTAAGGAAATATGATATTAGATCAATGCACCAAACTAACTGTTAGAAATATCCTCACATATTGACTGTCTGTCTGTCTGTTTGTTTTCGACATAGAACTTTGCACATATGTGCACCAGTTCAAGTCGCCACACTCCGTGTAGCACGCGAAGCAAGAGAAGAAAGTACAAGAAAATCATAATAGAGACAGTGAGCAGAGGTGTGAGACAAAGGAATAGTAATAACGAAGAACAAAACAGTTTCATTGGAAATCATAAATCACAAGGAGTGGATGCATCTGCACTAGCCATTGAGAACGATTTTGAGCCATGTCACCAATTGTTTCCAACCATTTGTTTTTACCGTCCCGAGGACCCCAACCGGTCAGGAAGTCTACACCTTCCTTCGTGGCTTAGACTAACTGTTGTAGATTTCATTGACTGGTGCCATGTTTTTGTTTGACCGCCGCTAGCTCTTTTCCGGCCTGGCCCTATATCAGCTAACATATTGACTGTAGAGGGATTAAACGCTTACAAATGATGAGGTTACAACAATTTAGTGATAGAAAGGATTAAATACATTTTCTAGCGAAACAAACTAATACCTAAATCATTAAGAACAGAACGCAAAGTGAGCAGAAAGTAACACATCAAAGAAAGAAGAGTAACTAAGGTCAAATTGAGAAAGTTGTCTGAACTCAAGTTACCCGGAACAAACTTTTCATAAACTAGACTAAGACCTGTATTTAACATATGAGTACTGATGATATTAAGTATTTACCCATACTGAAGTAGACGGAAGGACTCAAATCCGTGATCTATCGGCTGAAACGAAGTGTTTAAGCCAGTGAGCCGCAATACCACTAATTCAGAAAGAGAATATTTATGCTGGTTGATTGCCCTACATGGAGTTACACTGAATTTTTACTGCGTCTTTGAATAATACATTATTTCAGACTTTAAAAAGTGATGTAGGTTATGCATAACCAAAGATGAGAAATCGAATGGACTAGACGATAGACAAAATATTTGTGAACCAAATAGTCAAATTCTAGTAACTATCAATACAAATTGTAATCACGTGATAATGATAAAGAGGAATTAAAATTATCTTTGTGTAATTGAGGTTATAGGATGAAACTAATATTCACATGTGTTTTTTTCTCAATAATCCGTATTTCGTTGGAATGACAAGCTATGCATATGACAGACTGAGTGGCAAGTCAACGTAAAACTTTCGATAGGACTACAATGATTTAAACTATTACATTTCGAAACAGCATACAAAAAAGAAAACAAAAATAGAATGATATTGCACCAAAACACAAATCGTTCGTTATTGTAGCCCGATTGAGACCAGTTTTATACATATACTGTCTTTATAATAAGAACACTCACCGAAGATGTGATTTTTCTTCATCTGTATGTAAGTCCTGTAAAAAAGATAAAGAAATACATGAACTCAGTGCTTAAATACTAAAGGTTAATTTGGATACCAGAACAATAACCATTCAGAAAGTCAAGCCGCAAACTCCAAAATTGCCACTAAAAGCCCTTACACGACATCTTATCTACTAGCAGTTTCCAGTGACTAAAAGCAGTAAGGACGAAGACACATGCCAAATGCAACATAAACAGAGATAGGTAAGCTCATGAAGCCCATTAGCCTTCAATACGTTATTTACTTACGTAAACTGATATTTTATCTTCGGTCATAGTAAAAAGCCTAATATGTATAAAGAACTGAGTAATGAATAAAAAGAGCATACTTTGAATTAGTTGTGTTCTTCTAGCTGGTTGATTTAACTGAAAAGCTTTCGTCATCCTTCTAGACAACATATTCAGCGCAGGTTTTAGTAAAAAATGGACTTATTTAAATTCTCCATGAATGACATAATTATATCGCCTGGCAACCACTGTTGTGACTGACTGGCTGTTAATTTTTGTCTCTATTGTCTTCATTGACTTGGAATTAGAACTTTCTTGTCATGTGAATAACTTTTTATTAGCTGGTAAATTTGGTCTATAGTAATGTGTTTGTTAGTCACTGGCTGATTCACCTGAGTACCAGGCTTCTAGGAATTCGCTGGCACTTTTGGTGTTTTTTCTATTTAAAATTCCGACATTATCCCGATAAAATTGGTGTCCACAATTATCCACATGTGAATTGATAAAATGCTCGCATGATTTTGTTACGTATTTTAATTTTCTAAAAAGTTCTTAAGATACATTATATCAATTCGCCAATCCAATTTTTAGAGAAAATCAAAAACATTCAAGTAAATGACAATGAAATAATGTTGTTCTTTGGTGTCACTGCCTTATATACTTCAGTTGGTTTAAAACTAAGAAACGAAACCTTGAAGCAACTACTCTGCAGCGATGGGAACACGAAAACGCAATGTTCAACTTGCATGGAACTCATAGAATTATGTCTTACAGCATACTTTCAATTCAATATTCAAATAAACGAAAAGATAAATGGAGCACCAATGGGATCCCATTATTAATAGCTGATGTCGTTATGCAAAGATAAGAATTAATAGCCCTACTTTTAACTAAATCAAAAATATGGGTACGTTGATGATACATTTGTCATAGTTAAAAGAAATTATTTGGAATATACTCACAAATTAATAAACAACATATTTGAAGACACTAAATTCACGAGAAAAGAAGAATTAGACTACGAAATTCCATTTTTAAATGTCTTAATCAAGAGAACTAACATAGGAAATTTAGAAACAAGTATATAGAAAATTAATGCACACAGACCAAATACTCAACTATAACAGTAATTACCAACAAAAGAAACTATGTGCAGACATTGTTTAAAAGAGTCCAAACACATTGTAGCACTCCTGTGTTGAAGAGAATGGAGGAAAAATACCTACTAACCGTCTTCAAAAAGAATGCATATCCCCTCAATTTCATCAAAAAGTGTTTAAACTCCAGCCATAACACCACCAGCAAGCCAGCATCAAAGATCACAAAAAAATTCATCCTACCATATATAAAAAATACCTTTGAAATAACAACCAGAATTTCAAGACCGTTTGAAATAGATATAGCACACAAGCCAGCACAATCACTTCATTTGGTATTGTGCAAACCAAACGATCCAAGAGAAAAAGAAGATAAAACTAATACCATTTACAAAATAAACTGTATGGACTGCAATAAACGTTATGTCGCTCAAAGTGGGCATCCCATTCAAATCCGAATGCCAGAACAAAAAATGGCTGTGAAAAAAGCATTATATATATTCTTCAGTATCAATGCATGTGAATAATTATGGACACGAATTTGATTGGGATAATGTCGGAATTTTAAATAGAAAAAACACCAAAAGTGCCAGCGAATTCCTAGAAGCCTGGTACTCAGGTGAATCAGCCAGCGACTAACAAACACATTACTATAGACCAAATTTACCAGCTAATAAAAAGTTATTCACATGACAAGAAAGTTCGAATTCCAAGTCAATAAAGGTGACCAGGAGAGTGGTTAGGACTCTCGCCGACCATGCAAATGGTCTGAGGTTCGATCCCCTGCCGACGCACACCTGATATCTATGGTTGGCCTGCAAAACTTGGGCTACTGATATCACATGCTGAAAATTTCATACTTGTACCAAAAATACAGTGTATAATCAAGCTATAACCAAAAAACACTTAAATTAACAACCAGTCACGACAGTGGTTGTCAGGAAATACAATTATGCCATTCATGGAGAATTTAAATAAGTCTATTTCATACTAAAACCTGCGCTGAATATGTTGTCTAGAAGGATGACGAAGGCTTCGCAGTTAAATCAACCAGCTAGAAGAATACAACTAATTCAATGTCATCCACTAGAGTATACCATGTTGAGGAAGGGCGATGGATGGAACAAGGTATATGATCACTCAATAGTGAATGCTTAAGGCATCCAATAGTTTTTGTAAATACAGATGATTAAAATACAACAAAAGTGGATAGATTTCATACATGAATGAATAAAACCGAAGCTTAATGACCAACAATAATAAGCAGAAAGGGGGTCATTACACAGTTTCAACGCATAGCGCATACACGTTAGTTGATCCAATTCCACATAACTGACAGATTCATTTTGTATATCTGAAGCTCAATTTTCCATTTTAATATTGCTCATTTAGTTTCCGACATGTTTGGACACAGTTCTTCATCTATAGGACTCATGTCTGAAAGGCACATACTCAATAATTTACACTCCTAAAGTGAATACTCGCCTTATGCTTATTCACTAATCAATATAAATAGTGAGTGAAAAATTCACTGATATCCTTCTTCGTGTCTAATCACTCTGGATGGTTCCACGACCTTTATGAACGTGGTTGGATTTCAGCAATATTTATCTAACTTTATGGAATCGGAAAACATGTTGAATATTGGTTCATAGAGGAGGAAGCGAAAATTCTATATTCTACAAGATAGGGTATAATTTTTTAACAGCAAACTTCTTTGAACAGAGTCTAAACATCACCAATGAAATGTAGTGTTTGTAGAAAATTCCAATGCACGAATCACCATTATCTCACTTATTAGCAACAAACGTCCGACTGTTTGTGGAAATCACAATATTTGCTGTAAACCAAAGGATATATATATATTCAAGTGCGTCCGTGGTATAGCAGTTAGGACGCTTGACAACCATGTTCATGGTCCGGAGTTCGATCCCCGGCCGACCCACTCCTTTACCTCGCTTAGCCAGAAATAATCCTGGTAAAGGTTGGACATGAGACTGGCAACCCCATCCTGTAAAAATAAACACTGCTACAGAAACTTCAAGCCACAAGCTGGAGGCCGTATGTTCAACTGGGAACGTGAGGGAAAAATTTAAAAAATTAATATATATATTCACACTATGCACTTAGTTATTACATGCGTGTGATGGACAAGGAAACTATTACCTTATTACGTTTAATTAGTTTGAAAACATTTTCTTTATCTTTCCCGTTCATTGTATAAATGATTCAGTAGTGGAATGCAGGAGATTCAATCACAAAGCCAGTATTTTGATCACAGATACGCAAACCTAAAATGAAAAAAAAATGCCTAAGGGCTAAGAACTGCTAAAATTACACAGTAATACAGATGAGGCAACAGAATAACTAAAATATGTGAAGCGCGGTTATTTCGATAGCTTTTAAAGAGTGAATCTACGGAGTCTAATATGTAAGACGGTGGTAAGCACAAATCCTCGTCTAGACCCAAATCATTTTTTAAAAAGACATCAGTTGGGCAAAAACTAGTTAAAGCAAACAAGAATGCATCACAAAAATTAAACCATACAACAGAAACAACAGTTTGCTGTCATTAACACAGAAGATAAATTACGCCTAAAATGCCATTCGACGCATTAATATATGCTTTATCAAGCAGCGAGGAAACGAGGAGTTCAATAAAGATATCATTTATAATTATCAAAAGCTGTATATTGCAATTATCACAAATTGTAGTTCTACAAGTTATCATAGTTACATTATTTGATTGGACAGTGGTAAAGGTGAAATTAAGAGAAGTTTATTTAACACCATATTAAGATGACCATAAGTCGCAACCATGAAAATATGGTTGCATGAAGAATTAAATAGTTCTTTTTCGGAAAAGAGGTGTAATCAAAATATGCAAAGTAACGGCATGAAATGATACTTTGTAACTGAAAAACGAAGAAATATGACGAAGACTATAAAACTGTTCTAACTTGTAAAATGAGAGTGTACAGCAATTGCGACTGTACAGCTGTTACAGAAGTTATCTTCGCTGGACTTGTTGTACTCTACCTAATATCGTAATAGATATTTCCATTAACATGTAAAAATACATAATATAGTTTTCTGTCCCACTGAATGAAATTATCAAGAGAATGCTGACAAAATGCATTTACATATACGTCTAAAAGCTACGAAAAAGCCACAAACATTATAAGAAACACTCAAAACTATGGCATCCGGCATCAGAGAGCAAACACCACTAAGCCTGTTTCGTGTGTAACTCGATTCATGACATTTTGAGTAGTGAGGCTGTTTCAATCAAATTACTCCAAATATGAAGACACTTATTTGCAACATATAAGACCTGACCAAGCAACATGATGCACGCATACACATTATTCATTCACTTTACAAGTTGCAGTAATGCTCCGGTATTAACTACAACCACCCTGCTAACACTTTAGAGAGACAGTTATCTGACTCTGTACTACGGTTACCCTGAGGGTCTGTCTGAAATACTGAGTTTAAATATTTTTAACGAAGCCATTCCCAAAGCACTAACTGTTCGTCACTCGAAATAAGAAAATCACCCATTTAGAGTTAGCACATTATCCTCATTGTTGTTGCAGAATGGAAGGATGTGAATGTTAAATAAGCTCTATGAGTATTTGCGCTGCAGTGCGACATATGCGGTGGCATCACTACAGTACACTTGCTGATACAGAATTAACCACTGATTTGAAAAAATATTGAGGATAAAAACACATCTTAGGCAAAACTAAGTGCAGCGTACTTTCCAGAATGCGTCGAGAATTCTAAATACCTGGGAGTGTCATACATCCTTCTCTAGCACAAATTAGCTGAGTTATTGTAGCTTCCGTAAAATGATACCAGTCATGCTATAGGCAGTAGGCTGACATTTAATGTGCTTACTCAGATTCTATACAAAATACTTTATACTGCATTATAAACGTCTTTCAGTAACGTAACATTTGAAACGCCGCCTACAATCCTGTGTTCAATATATTTGTGGTGGGCGGATTCTATTGCAGTAGATCTAACTGGTCGCCTAATATATGTTGATCCAGTGGTGAGGGAAACAAGGCGAAGTGCACGACAAACAGTTTGATGACACATGTGCTTAACCATAACGTGAAGTGCCACTGAAATTTGGGTGTTATATTTACACCCGATCATTTTGCCGGGAAGGGGTTGTTGGGGCTTCTGATCGACCGGCCTGAATTCAGAGCACGTCACAAGGTCATTCAGTGTTGTACCTTCACAGAGGTATGCTTCTCATTAACTCGAACTATTCAACATTTCAGTGGTATAATCATCTCACACATTTGTGTGTGAGGCAACTGTCTGCTTTTATTATCTTATATTGTGCATCATTCAGAAGATCCTCATATCTCTTCGGGAGTGGTATCATGACAATTTTGTGGATTTTGAGGTGAGACCGCTCTTTTACACATGAACAGTTCAGATGTTAGCTCACACAGCTGCAGTAGATCTACATACGTTTCCTTAAATAATTGGTTCTCCTTTCACTCTCTGCCTCAGGAGTGTCCCATGATCGCTCAATGTATATAAGTGGGGTAGGCTAATTCCTAACAGAGATTGAAAAGTTGTTTGTACCCCAGAGGTGTGAAAATCGTGGCTCATCACTTGTTTACGCTAAATATCAGTCCACAGAAGACAACACAATTCTACTGAATAATTATGTAGTTTTGCTAAACTGATAGAATTCAAGATCGAGTAATAATAATCTTTTAAAGGTTGACGGATATTAAAGGTTTGACGTGATATCTCGTTCAACAACTTCTAATTAATTTATTCTCGCGTACCAAAGACAAAGCAAAAGCCAATAATTGGTCGTCCAAACGAAGAAATGTATTTAGGAACCAAAACCAGCCGATAGACGAACGCTTAGCTAGCTAGTGATCGTGCACGTTACACGACGGGGTACCAAATGGCGGGGATGCTTGACCGGAAGCCTTCAGCTAAACAAGTCGACTTAAACAGTGGTGGTCAGCATCCAATGAGTGATTGCTGTGGTCAATAATTTTGGGGAATTATTTACCGCTACAGCTCACTCCCCCCCTAGTGGGGTCGTGAGGACCCTAAGACAGAACCAGCCGGAAGTAAAAAAAACTCGATGGTTCCCTTTCGGGTGAAAAAAATCTTCCGAGCGGCTTGGTCTTATGCCTACTGGTTTGTCTGCCTATGCTAATGGGGTGTTTGTACATAGCTTCCTGGTTGTTGTTCGTTGGATTCCGTGCTTCGTTTGTTTCCTGTCCAGTGCCCGTCGCACCTGGAAAAGAAAACAAGAACGCTAAGAACCATGTCGAGGAAAATGTACGAAATGAGCTTTTTGGTTAAAAAAAATTGTGTGCATTTACTATACAGTAAAATAATGCTAAGTTCAGAACATCGAAAAAAAAATACATCTAATTAATTTTTTTGTGTATGTTACATGAACTGTTGAAAAAAAATTTTGTGTTCGGTGGTACTGTATATAAAAAAATTTATACGTCAAAAAAAATAGTTAGTACCACAAACGAGTGAGTTGCGTGAATCACACGACTTCGTTAAGTCAAATAAGTGTGCAAATGTTCTGGGAACCTTACGGTGCGTCCAGAACGGTTTTTCTTAGGAGGCTCAACCTTAGTAGCCAGTGGGCGAATGCCCTTGCAGTCAATAGTGTGACCCAGGAAGTCGAGTGAGTCAACACCGATTTGACACTTTTGAATATTGATGGTAACACCATGTTGGCGTAACCTGTCAAATGCCAAGTCCAAGTGCCTAAGGTGAGTTTCCTTGTCTGGACTGGCAATGAGGCAGTCGTCTAAGTATGCGTATACAAAGTCGAGACCGCGAAATACTTCGTCAATGAAGCGTTGGAATGTTTGGGCTGCATTCCGAAGACCGAATGGCATACGTAGAAATTCAAAAAGTCCGAAAGGCGTAATGATAGCCGTTTTCGGGATATCTTCTGTTGCCATCGGGATTTGGTTATACGCTTTAACCAAGTCGATTTTGGAGAATATAGTCGCGCCGGATAAGGTTGCCGTCAAGTCGTGTATATGAGGCAACGGGTAGCAATCAGGGGTTGTTTTGGCATTCACTCGCCGGTAATCACCGGTGGGTCGCCAATCGTTGCTATCCTTTTTCGGAACCATATGAAGTGGGGATGCCCATGGGCTATTCGAAGGTCGAATGATGCCAAGGCTAAGCATATGGTCAAATTCATTCCTGGCGATTCTCAGTTTGTCAGGAGCTAATCGTCGTGCTTTAGATGTCACAGGTTGTCCTGTGGTAATGATGTGGTGCATAACATTGCTGGTTATGCACGGTAGGTCGTTCGACGGGCAGTTAAGTTCCGGATACTTGTCAACGATAGGTTGAAAAGTTGGATCAAGAATTGCCTTTATCTTAACGGGTGACAAGCTAGGGCCTATGTAGGTAATGCCTTTGATAGACAGACTAGTAGTATTGTCAATCAGTCGTTTTCGGCGGACGTCTACGAGTAAATCATGATGATTAAGTAGGTCCGTGCCAATGATGGGCATTGTAACGTCAGCGAGAAGGAAAATCCACCGAATAGGTTTGCGTAAACCTACGTTCAGATAGACGTATTTCCTACCAAAGGTTGCGATTGGTTTTCCATTTGCAGCCTGTAAGTTGAAGGTAGGTTCCTTCTGTCGATCTGCTGCTGTAGCAGGAAGGACGCTGACTTCGGCGCCTGTGTCGACTAAGTATCGAGTCTGGCTTATCACATCATGGATGTAAAGTAGGCGGCTAGTGCCACCGGCGACGGTTGCCGCTAACGCGTGCCGGCGGGATAGTTTCCCACAGACTTTGAGACATTTCCGAAGTTACAAGGCTTACGGCAACACTTCGCTTCTTGGCCATAGGTGTTGTGGTACCAGTGTAACAACAGAAGACAAGGGTCAGGCAACAGATCGTTTTATTATGAAAATCAACACGTATTTATACATCTTTCAACTACATTATTATAGACAAGCGCAGTCATCTGATTGGTTGTTTAGGTAGACAAACGCAGGCTTCTGATTGGTTGTTTCGGGATTCCTTGACAAATAGAGTTCTCTCTGCGAATCATATTCTGCCACGTTAACTTTGCTGTGATTGGTTGTTGACTCAGGCTTGTTCATATTTTCTCACGGCCCATATTAGTGACCTAGACCTTAACGTAGATTAGTGCCAACCAATCGGCTAGCAGCCTGCTCTCACCACACTCGTCCCCCCGTCAAATACGTGCGACTGAAGTCGGCTTGATCTACTTGGTGCAGGCGTCATCGTTGGCTTGTCTCGCTGTATCCATTTCTGGAGCTCGCTGACGTTCACGCGCCTCTCATTGTTCGCCATTGCGACTGTGTCTGCGTAACCCCATCTCGAAGTGACCATATATGGTCCTTCCCACTTTGGAAACTGTTTGCCTGACCCTGTCGAACATTCGTCCATACTTCGGCCCACACCTTCATATGCTGCTTTCGCCCGACCTCCCAGCAGCGTCTCAAGTAGCAGCTCCATCGCTGGCAGATCTTGAACGCCACTCAACTGCGCAGAAGCCTTGAAGTCCTGCCCGAAGATCCATATGTCTCCGTCAAAAACTGCAGGGTATAGGCTTTTCATTTGTCGGTAGGCAGCGACACCAAATGTAACAACAGAAGACAAGGGCCAGGCAGCAGATCGTTTTATTATGAAAATCAACACGTATTTATACATCTTTCAACTACATTATTATAGACAAGCGCAGTCATCTGATTGGTTGTTTAGGTAGACAAACGCAGGCTTCTGATTGGTTGTTTCGGGATTCCTTGACAAATAGAGTTCTCTCTGCGAATCATATTCTGCCACGTTAACTTTGCTGTGATTGGTTGTTGACTCAGGCTTGTTCATATTTTCTCACGGCCCATATTAGTGACCTAGACCTTAACGTAGATTAGTGCCAACCAATCGGCTAGCAGCCTGCTCTCACCACACCAGCACCAGTCAGGGTTTTTCAGTGAACGTGGTTTGGACTTAGATCGACCACGCGAGTTCCTGCGTTGAGGAGATTTAGGACGACGGTTGGAGGATTTAGAATGCGTGTTTGACCTAAACATCTGCTGAAGGGAGTTGCATAACTCTGTCATTGCAGGATCCTCACTCGAAGTCTGCTTAGTCATTGAGCATATTTCGGGGACAGACCGTTTAGTTATTTCTAGGATCTTATCTGCAGTAATAGCTAAGTTCTCTATTACAGTAGTCTCAAGTGTCACAAGTACGGTCTGTACAGATTGTGGCAACTTGGTTAAGAAGAGTTCTCTAAACAGTCCTTCGTCGAACTGACATTGGCCGACGACTTTTTTCATGCTTGTCAGCATGCTCACGGCTGACTGATCTCCTAACTCGATGTTGCGAAATAATTCATCTAGACGTTGTCTGTCCGTGAGAGCGTTTCTCCTGAGGAGGGATGCTTTCAGCAACTCGTACGAGTTACTTACCTCGGGACTCAACATCTGTGATGTTACGTACTCGCTGAATTCCCGTGGTAGGGCGTGAATAACTGCAAGTAACTGTGAACGTTGATCAGTTATCCCATGCTCACAAAAATCTGCTTCAGCTAGCAGAAACCACGTTTCAGCATTATCTGGCCAGTATGGTACGAGCTGAATGGTTTTAGGAGTTGAGCGGATACGGATGACCTTGGGACTAAGATCACTCATGACGAAAACTATATCGAATAATATATGGTACCAGAACAAATACAAAATGGAACGAACTCACCGGGATTATCTGAGTAATTGTCGTAGATGAAGTTCGCGGTTAGGCTCACCAGTTTAAAGGTGGGCGGAGATTAAAGGTTTGACGTGATATCTCGTTCAACAACTTCTAATTAATTTATTCTCGCGTACCAAAGACAAAGCAAAAGCCAATAATTGGTCGTCCAAACGAAGAAATGTATTTAGGAACCAAAACCAGCCGATAGACGAACGCTTAGCTAGCTAGT